AAGAAATGGGAGCACCAGAAATAATACTCAGGTTGATTCATGGGTATCGAATCCCTTTCCTTCAAAAACCCCCTCTGGTACTTCCAAAATTAATGAACGGCTCGTTTCATACTCCTGTGTCAGAACAAATGACGGGCATTATACACAAAATGAAGGTACAGGGCATTTTAAAAGTAGCTCATCCATCCCCAAATTTTATTTCCCCTCTATTTCTAGTACCCAAGTCCGACGGATCAGTCCGTCCCATATTCAACCTCAAAGCTCTAAACAATTATGTGATGGCCGATTCATTCCACTTGATAAACATGTATCGCATACCAGACTTCCTCCAACCCCGAGACTGGATGTGCAAAATAGACTTGTCCCAAGCATATTTCCACTTGAAAGTAGCGAAGTCCCACAGACGCTTCCTACGTTTAATATACAATCACGAATTGCTCGAAATGACCTGCCTCCCGTTCGGGTTAAGCGCAGCTCCAAAAACCTTCTCAATATTGACGAATTGGGTAGCCCAAACACTACGAGACAAGTGGCAGGTAAGGGTTATAGTTTATTTGGACGATTTCTTAATAGTACATCAAAATGTTCGCATATTACGCGAACATGTCGATCTGGCTGTTCAATTTCTACTGCATTTGGGATGGCAACTAAATTTCGAGAAGTCCAAACTTCATCCTCAAAAAAGCCTGAATTATTTAGGAATAACGTGGAATCCATGGGACAACCTGAAATCTTTACCAACAGAAAAAACTGTTACAATAACTCAAAACATAAGGCTTACTCTCAGACAAAATGTAGTAACTCTAAAAATGGCACAAAGTCTGGTAGGACTTCTAAATTTTGCCAGTTTTGTAATTCCAAGAGGTCGACTCAATCATCGGCAGTTATTAATATTTCTAAATTCTCTCCCATACAAAACATCAAGAGCTTACACTATACCAGAAAAGGTGATAGTCGAACTGCATTGGTGGCTTCAAAATTGTCATTTCCCAACACTTCTGCATTATCCACCCCCGGTCAACTTCTTTACGACCGATGCGTCAGATCTGGCTTGGGGGGCACAATTGAACGAAATAGCAATGGTGGGAACTTGGTCCGAAGCCGAACAAACTATGCTCTGCAACCAGAAGGAAATGTTAGCTATACTACACGCCCTTCAGAGTCAAGCTCACTTAATAAGCCACAGCTCGATTTTAATACAGTGCGACAACAAGACTGCTGTAGCCCACTTGCGGAAGGAAGGAGGTACGAAATCACTACCCCTAATGAAATTGACACATCAGATTTTGGACCTACGAGACGAACATCAAATACATCTCAATATACACTATCTCCCAGGCATTTACAACAACCACGCCGATCATCTTTCACGTTTACGTATACTTCCAGAATGGCACCTCCTGCCAGACTGTGTGGAGACAGTGTTTATGAAGTGGGGAACTCCGACGATCGATCTGTTTGCCTCTACAACAGCGCATGTAGTATACAACTATGTCTCGCGAGATCTGAAAGACCAGCAAGCCCTATTTCACGACGCATTCAGTGTCCCATGGAACTACTCGCTGGCATGGGTGTTTCCGCCACCATTTCTGGTTCCCAAAGTGCTGAGTCACCTAAACCAGTCGACAGGAGTGTTTCTATTAGTAGTGCCACGTTGGGAAAAGGTTTTGGCGCGCGGATCTCAAATCCCGAGCGTTAACGGCCCCGTTTGTTTTGAAAAACTTACAGAGACATCTGATAGATACGTCGACGAGAGTACCACCTCCACAAGTCGAGAAAATTATCCTCGAGGTATGGAAATGTGGGGGTGGTCTAAAGAATTAGTAAGATGGAATCCTGAACAGCTGTCATTGCTGAAAAGTTCTTGGCGTAAGTCTACATTAAGCACTTATGAGGTGGCATGGAAACGCTGGATTACTTGGGCAAATACTAAAAATATCGATATAGAAAACCCCACAGGATCCCAACTGGCCCAATTTTTGTCAGACCTATATTTAATTCATAAATTATCTTATAACACGATACTTTTACAAAAATCGGTTGTTTCAACACTGTGTAATGCCGAAACATCAAGTCTCTTGAGTTCACACGTTCTGGTAAAACACATTTTAAAATCAATTGCTTTAAAAAATCCAAAAAATTCAAGTCTTCCAATCTGGAATGTCTGAAACTAATTTCATATATTACTAATTATACTATTGATATAAATAATACGTTTCAAACTTCGCGACATACCGCAATTTTATTATTACTCTGTTCAGGAAGACGCATACACGATCTAACTTTATTTAGATCTGATCCACAACATTGTGTGAAATCTGAGGACAGCATAGTATTTTGGCCTCAATTTGGGTCAAAAACAGATTCTAGTAATTACAGACAGTCTGGTTGGAGACTCCTTCATAACCCTAATAATCGTCATTTAGATCCCATATACTGGATACCATTTTATTGCTTAATGAACGACGTCGTGCTACAAAATGTTTTAATTTGTTTATAACAGTTAGGGGTGCAGCTAAACCCGCCTCGCGGATGGTAATAGCAGGATGGGTAAAAACTTTATTCAAAGAAGCTGGCATTACAGCGGCTCCAGGCAGTGTGAGATCTGCAGTTGCTAGTAAGAGCTGGATTGAAAATTGTTCACTAGATGAAATCCTAGCCCGAGGGAATTGGAAATATGCTAATACATTAAAAAAATTTTATAAGCGGGAAGTAATACAATGTGATAAATCAGACAATCTTACACAACTGTTTACCCACAAAATTAGTAATTTTGATTAATGTAAAATAACGACATTCATAGTTTACTCAATAGTATTATAATATGGTGCTATTGAAACCATAGATACTTATTAATTTCTTTATGCAAGATTCAATTTAATTTATACAATGACCTTGATTAAAAATTTGATTTTCTAATAAATATTTTATGTGACTGTCACATTAGCGTTTCATTACTAATAAGTGACGCCACCAGGCGATAACAAACAGATCTCAATTAAAAGTTTCCAGTGACGGTCAATTATTTTAATAGCAGCGTTTTACCTGAAATAAAACGCATATTAAAATACTTACCTCGCTGGAAACTTTACCTTAATTTCTGCCTGGTGTAATTGAGCTAATGAATTAAAATTGCGCTTAGCATTTTTAGGAAAACCAAGTGAAACGCAAACTGCCCGGTGGCGCCACTGGACAGGATATAAAGGTCAATAGAGGTACTAAAACTGACACAAATCGACGGAAACGGATATGCTTTCTCAATTAAAAGTTTCCAGTGACGGTCAATTATTTTAATGTAAGTTAATTTTACAGAAGGTAAATATAAAAATCGAGGTGAACTTGATAATAGGTATGAACATCATTTCGTCATAAACGGTGTTCAAATGCCCACTAATCGTTAAGTAACGAATCTTTGTTGGACGTCATATGATCTTAATAAAAAAACACATGATTTTGGGTAAAATAATGTAGTATGAAAAAGATAGGCCTACGTAACACACTACAGATAAAACTAATAAATTGCGTAGAGAATTTGACTCATCGCCAATTAAATATTAAGCCATAAAAGAGGTTTTTAAATGGTTTAATTTAGCTTGCTTCGTAAATGTATGAAAAGATTTAAATTTTTGCCCTTCCAGTTGACCGAGTGATTGAAGTTTGATACCTTTTCGACTGTACTTCAAAAGAGAAGGAAGTTCTCAATTCTTTTTTTATTTTTATTTTTGTTACGTCAAACTTTCGACTGGGTGAACCGATTTTGATGATTCTTATTTTTTTATTTGAAATCTGGCGCCTAGAATGTGGTCCCCAAATTAATTACATTGGTATCGGATCTTGGGCTCCGAAGATACTTAGGAAACTCCTGAAAATCAATTATAAAATGAATCAGAGCGAGATATTTGAAGTCGGTTTTGTTTTCCGCTAATAAAAATAGATTTGTTGAGTCATAAGATATTCTCAAATACTTAAAACATATCGGGAGTTAAAATCTAAATGAAACTCGATGAAAACCAAGTAATAGTTTTATTTTAAAATTTTTGTTTACTAATACCAGACACTAACAGCTTACTATAACAATAAAATTAAATGGTAAAATAAACTTTGTATTAAAACCACAAATTCGTTATACTATTTCCAATATAATTTCAGTGTCCCTTTAATACAAAAAAAATACCGAATATTAAGTCATAAACGAGTTATTCAGCAATCTAAAAGAATAGGAAAAATTATAAGCAAGAGGAGAGGCTACCAAACAGGTTCTGCAGCTGACCGTTGAAAATAGTTTGGATTCCGATTCGATGTTTTACTAACGGCTGTCACATATTGATCTGAACTCCATGCCTAAGCAATTTTCCTACTTTACAAATGAGCCCAATTACTTAATGTATTTTTTCTGAAGTAAATATTTTTTTATGGAATACGTTCACACAAATAATATTTTTAACTAACTTAAAATATATTTCTGTTTCTTTAATGAATATACTCATCTCCTAAATTAATAAAGCTAATTTGTTTACGTTCTATTAATAGAAACTTTTTTATCGTTAACTAGCGACCCGTCCCAGCTTCGCACGGGTGTAATGTATTATACATATAAACCTTCCTCTTGAATCACTCTATCTAGTAAAAAAAACCGCATCAAGATCCGTTGCGTAGTTTTAAAGATCTAAGCATACATAGGGACAAACAGACAGCTTGACGACTTTGTTTTATAGCATGTAGTGATATGCCAGATTTATTTTCAAACATGTTTATTGTTGACAAAATATATGTAAATAATATATGTACACTTGGATAGTCTATTCCTGAATTTTCGTTTATCTTTATTATCGTATTAAGGGTGGTTAAAGGGACTATGGGCCCAGTTAAACCAGTGCTGTGCAGTAAACCAGCATAAGTTTTTACAAGATTATATTAATCGTTTGGCCCAACGGAGATGGTAAGCATAAACGTTGAAAAGAGTTTATTAAAATAAAAAAACAGAGTTTCTCTTTTTACAGTACTACTTACATCAAAAAGTAGAGGAAATTTTGGAGCATTTCCCGGCGCGAGTGTTGCCAGCAGAGTGGGGTGGCGAAGAGGAGTCCGTTGACGTCATCACCAAAAAGTGGAGAAGACGCGTGGACGAACTTAGAGACTTTCTACGGGATCTTGGCGAGCTCGCTAATGTCACACAAGAGCCTCAGTACGATAGCGACATTTATGGCACTGTCGGCGCTTTCCGAAAACTGGATATTGATTAGAAAATAACATTTAGAATTAAAATATAGGTTGACTTTGCAGTTTATAATGTGCCCTAACCGTTGGGTCAAAAACTGCTTGAAAAGGAAGGAAAAAATGTTATTGGACGCCAATAGTGCGGAATGATTTTTTTGCTGGCAGTCTCATGGACTATGAAGCCTTATCGTGCTCGGGCTCTATCTATATGAGAGTTATCGCGGATAGAAGAATCAACAATTCTTCTAGCAAAGTTTAAAAAAATGTGATTTTACCACTTTCTTATGACTTTATATCCTTTGTATAATAATGATCTATAGGTGACATTGATAGATAGGTAAGTCATCCTTGTATACATAACTTACATAAATAGCGATTTATGTAAGTTATAACAACAAACACTAGAATAAAAAAAAATTAAATGTGATTACAGTATTTTGTATGGGTTAAGTAATTAATAAATTTTCGAACAATAAAAAGTTACGTTTTCAGACTATATTTTAGTCCAAATGTTTTTTCAAATGTAGAGCTTAAATCCCTTAACAATTTGAAATATATGTACGTACAAATATTGTGTTTTATTATTATTTAGGTTCTTTTGTAAAATAAATACGTGTGTACAAAATAGACTCGAAATAGTTTCTTTTTATTAGGCATTGCATCATAAATCCTCCCGTGCAACATCAAAATCTTTTATTAATAATAATGAACTAATGTGATGGCCAGCCTGTGATTTTCCATTTGTTATTTCGAAATTTTTAAACGCCACGTAATCACGTAATTGCCACGGCTTCCGATTACGTTATTCAACATTCTTCAAATGGAAGCTAGACATGTAATATGTTGCGTTCCAATAAATTACAAGATGACTAATGGCCGTAGAATTCTTGTATGTAGTACTAATTCAAATTCAAATATTTTTATTCATATAGAAACATTACCATTACTTATTGATATTCAAAAAGCTACCAGCGGTTTGGAGAAGAGCCACTGACCCGAGAGGAACCGGTGAAAGAAACTCACCAGGGCATTTTTTTACCACCATTTGACAAGAAAAATGTTTACAATGGATTAAAGTCACTTGAAAGAGTCTGTAGGGATCAATTCATTTCCAGGGTGTGCAGTCATTTAAATAATTACCAATATTATATTTTAATAGCCTTTAACACATACGTTCCTTTACATCTTACGTTTTTAAGGAAGTTTTTTGTCGATTCCAACTATTCCTTGAAGTTCTGGGATTATAACAATTGAGTTAGAAAAAAGTTGTAACACACTTTGAACTTTTTTTTGTTGATATGGCGGAAATGCATACGCATACCCGGGCAAGAGCGGGTTATGTCGGACTCGCACCGAATAAAACCACGATGTACTATCTAGGCGCATATCGGCAGGGCTACGGGGACGCTTTCCCACACTTCTGCGATCCTGCCAGCGCTGGCCGCCTTAGCAGCCCCCTTCCGGGGAGCAACTCCCCTCACCTCCAGGTAAGGCGTGCTGGAACATTCAGCGCACCTTCCTACTCGGCCCCTTTTTTACGGCCAGCGAACTCCCCTGAGTTGGCTGACTAGAGGCCATTTGAGCCAGGAGAGCTAGTGTCAATAAGCGGCGTAACATCGTAAGTTTATAAAAGCGCTTAACAAGCATTTTAGAGTTATTTAGTGTATGTAAAGCTTGGTTAATGACTACATTTTGTACGCACAGAAACATAATAATCTTAAAATTTTGGTACAATAAGGCGGTCATATCGCAAAAGAGCGATCTTTTCATTGTGCTTGTTGGCAGTCGGGGTCCAAAGTAAATAGGAAAAATGACGGAAGGGACTGAAAAGTGTTGGCCTAAAGATTAGTGTCACCAAAACAAAACGATTATTTTGCGATTTATGTGGCGCCTTTAAAGGTTACAAATGAGTCCAAAAAGACGGCGGCAGACCGAGACGTCACAAATAGGATAAATTCGGGATGGGTGAAATGGCGACAGGAGCTACACGTAACCCCCGAATGCCCCTAAAACTCAAAGGTAAGATTTACTAGGCGGTGGTGAGACCTGTCAGGATGTATGGATTTGAATGTTGGGATCTGAAAGTCATGCGACTAGAAGAGTGATAAATATGAATTTGGTTGGAGGTTGTAAGTATTCAGTCGGCGGCTGATAGAGGTAAGTGGAAGGAAAGGACATGTTGTGCCAAACCCATCTAGTGGGATAAGGGCAGAAGAAAAAAGAAGAAGAAAAGCGATAACATCGTCTTATTATACCTAACTTATTTCGTCAGCACATAGCATACCTGGTGTATGTGGTGCCTCCTCCTAAAACCACACATAAATAATTACTATTAATCGTGACGGTCCTGGTAACGATATCATATCAGGTTGAAGCTTAGGCGTTGTCGTCGAAGTTGAACACATGCCAGAAGTGGATGAAATTAACGTATTTATGACCAAAGATTTTCTTACATTGATAGATACCGAGATAGATAGATAGATAGACAGGCGAATAAAAGCGTGTTAAAAAGAAGCTAATAAAAGCGTGTTCAAAATAACCCAAAATTTATTGTTAAGTATTTTTTATCTACTATTTAGCGCATCTTTTTATATTTATTTTTTTATTCATCTATCTACGAAGCTGTCAATACTGACGACGGACGGTGTATTTAATAACGTTCTACACTTTAGAAAAAATGGGAAGACTTTATTTTTTCTCTTACCACACTGAAGTTGTCATTGTCAGTCAACTGTCACCGAGTTCAGATTTCAAAAAATAACGGTGGAAATCCCAGGCGGTTGAGAATTGCAAACTATGGTTGTACGTCGAAAATAAACAAAATTGACCATGAAAATTAATTAAAGTTCAATTGAAATATTGAAACGCAATAATGGAACCGTCGAAAGAAGCGATTGCTGTCCGCATTACACGGCTTAACCGACAAATCGTTGGAAAAGTTACCAGTGGGCCAAATAAATTAAACAAAAAGATAGATCGTGAAACACTGTTTGATGCACTTACAGTTTTGTATGATGAGTGCAATGATGATCCAATTAAAAAGTGTGACGAACTGGTACGAGCCTTTGTGGATAAATGTACGTATATTAAAAAAATCACGCCCACATGTATACAGACATACTGTTATAGTGATAACCAAGGTTTTTAAAAACAATGATTTTCCGTCTATTAATCTAACAATAAATAATTTTATAGATTTTTTTTAAATGTTATTAAAATGCTATCATGTTATATAAGGGGATGACACTTTATAAATATTCTATTGAAGCATTCATTGTCCCTTTTTTTATTCTTATTATTTTTACTCCATGTCTTTTAGATCGTAGTACACTGGCAGAGTTACGTCGTGCTAGAGTTTGTTACTCAGACTTTGAACTAATACAAGTAATAGGGAGAGGCCATTTTGGTGAAGTACATGTAAATATACTTTTCTTTTCTTTTAACCACACAGATGGTAAGAATTTAATGATAAATGTATTCATTTATTTGCATAGTTTAGTATGAACACCCATTGTTCACACTTCATTTATAAACTAAGCGCAGTTTATTTATTGAGTTTTACTGTGTATTTATTTATTTAAACGTCATGTTTACTCATTATTTAACTTAAACATTGTTACTCCATGGCGCAATTGGTAAGACATTGGCTTCGGCTAGGGAGGGGTTTTAGTTTTGATTCCCACACAAGACAACTTTTTGTGTGACTCACAAATAATTGTTTTGGATCTGGGTGTTAGACCATGTGAAATTTATGAATGTAAAACATCCTGAGAACATATGATAAGGCTATCCTAAATGCCCTCATATAAATGACTAAATGTAGTCATGTAGTCAACTTTAATCTTTTTTTTTAATTATTTATGCATTATATAGCACATAATATTATTATTAAGAGTGTTTTCAACAAGAAACAATATATATTTGACCACTTCAAACAAATATAATTTATCTTAATGATAGATGGTGCGCGAAAAAGAAACAAGTGATGTGTATGCATTAAAAATATTGCGTAAGGAGCAAGCACGTAAAAGAGTAGCTATCGGCACAGAAGATGAGCGAGACGTTTTAGCAAATGCCAATGGACCATGGATACCAAAATTACAATATGCATTCCAGGTACATGTAACATACACACATTATTTTCATGTTATAAATAACAGTTGTTATTTTAATCTTGCTTTTTATGCTAATTATGATTGCTAATATGCTAATAGCTTGAAAATTGGAATTTTAACTTAACTTTATTACTACACACAAAATGAAGCTGAAATTCAGCTTCTTTTTGTGTAGTAATAAAGTTAATTAAGTAAAGTACCATGTTATACGTGTCCCACTGCGGGGCAAAGGACTCGTCTGTACAGAGGTATTAGGGCATAGTCCACCACACAACCCCACTGTGGGTTGGCGGACTTCGTATATCCTCAAAAATTTTTCTAATTATTTCTAAATATGCAGGTTTCCTCACGATGTTTTCCATCACCGGTGAGAATGTGATAAGTCAGCACTCAAAATTAACAATTTCATTGGTGCAGGCACCTGGGCTCAGGTTGCTTCAGTAAATTGAATTAAAGGCGAGCACCCAAATGTTGATCTATGGTCTCCTACAACCTACATTACTCAGATTGAGAGTTTCAAATTGCTAGGCATACAACTTAAAAAGGAATTACCCCAAAATAGGCTATGACAATCATCCAGCCTATCACCTGTTTTTGATCTGCATTGCTCTCTTACAGCATGAAGAAAGGGCAAACCAATGAATTTAAATTAATTAATGAAACCAAATTTACACTTTGGTTTATTTAGTCTAGTTAATTATTGATTTAGTCTTTTCCTTTACTATTACAGGACAACAGCAATCTGTACCTGGTGATGGAGCTATGCAATGGTGGTGACCTGTCCGGTCTATTGGCTCGGCGCAACCACCCGCTGACCGAAAAAGATGCCGCTTTCTACGTGGCCGAGGTGGCACACGCATTGAAAACCCTGCATGCTATGGGATACGTACATCGAGATATCAAACCACAGAATATCCTACTTGATCGGTGAGTTTGTTTGCCGAAATAAATTGTGGTTTAGTTAGCTGTGAATTCATTTTATGTACATCTTAAGTCCAAGAGAATGTTCTAGTTGTGGGGATGAGAAACCGAGCCCTAAATGGCGATACAAGCAGTTTAAGAGGGTACTGAACTCTCGCGCATTGACGCGAATCCCTTTCAGGAAGGAGTTCAGTAAATGATATAAACCGTGTTGAAATCTCCCATCCTCGACAAACTGCTGAAGCGTCGTACCCTTGATGCTGAAAGTATGCAAAAGTATCAAGTATCAGTCGGTCTTCAGTGAAGCCGATGTTCTTCCCGTTTGAGCTGGCTTGTGCTGCAGGACCTGATGTGTGATTTCATCTGCTTCTGTGACCAAAGATTTCCACGGATCTCGCGAAATTTACTTTGCTTATGCACAACAAGTACCCATCTAATGGCTCTTGTAATGCATTTCAGGTGCGGCCATGTCAAGCTGGGTGACTTCGGTTCGTGCACGCGGCTATCCGAGGGCGGTGCGTCGGGCGTGGCGGTGGGCACGCCGGACTACGTGGCGCCGGAGCTGCTGGCGGCCGCTGACTGCGCGCACACCGTCTGTCTCGACTACTGCCGCGGCGTTCAGACCGCTATAGTGGGTTCGCTCGCACGCGCACACGCTTCGCACGCGCTGTCTCTCTCTAAACCTTGTGCCGGTGCCGTGGGTCGGAGGACCCGTATGCTTCTGATGTTTGTTGTGTATTGGCCGCTAAGAGTGCATAATATGGATTTTTCAATTTGTAGGTCAATAAGTTGATTATGTGATATTTTAACTTGTTTTAATTGGGGATGCACCACTTTAGAAATAAATGGTCCATATATAGGTATGTCCTGTGTATATATGTGTGTATAGATCAGTGATTCTCAACCTTTTTTTTGTTGAGGCACATATTTAAAGATTTCAAAAATTGGCAGCACACAAAGAAAAAGATAAAAAATATTTACTTACTACAACACACTGCATAAATAGTTTATGACAAAAATTTTAAATATACGAAATAAACTAATATATACTACAATAATAACTAAACGTTTATTAAGGGATTAATTACAAGCTAATAATAAAAATATTTTTAATGCGAAATTTGAGCTTGATGTTTTTTGATAATTTCATTTATATTTGGTCGTAAAAATGACAATGCTACTCTCATATCGTCTTCTACATTTAACAATCTTGATCTTTTTTTAGTTTTAATGTTCGCTTATGCCAAAAAATATTTTTTTTTAAATGATATAATTTAATATTATTAACATTATTATATATTTGCAAAATTTGGCGGCACACAAAAGTGCCGCGGCACAGTGGTTGAGAATCACTGGTATAGATGTTTTTAAAGTGACTATTTGTGTTTTTTTTGTTAAAATTAAATGCTTTGTGGTGTCATTATATGTATGTTAAAGCTTTATTAAAGTTTATAATCACAAGCTAAGCTTTATCATAATATTGTCAGTAAAATGCAAAAGCCGTAATAAACATAATTAAGTTTATTTTACGAAAAGGAAAAAAAAAGGCCAGTTGGTTAGTTTAATTAAATACACACATGATTAGTTTTATATGTAGGCCAAATCCCATTATCCCTTTTGGAAGCCTTCTCTAATATGTTTGAAATTAGAAATAATAACATCTTCCATGACCAATCAATAAATAATTTAAAGTTACACAATGATTTTATGCTATTGCAGTTCAATAACTTATATGGTAATTAATGAAACAAGTCCATTGCGTATTTGCATGGTGTGACATGTGGAGGTATAGTAATTTTATGTTTTGTTTATAGAAAGAATAACATAAAATTTTTCCTAAAATTCATATTCTTAAAAATCTATTTGTATAGTTTTGTTAAACCTACGACCCATGGCGATAGGATAAATATGGAGCACATAGACTGAAACCATATAACTTAGCCATTTCTTAATTTGTGTTTATTAAACAATTCATGAGGTTTAGATTGAGACCTAAGTAATTCATAACATTGAAAAATATTTATTAACATCATAGAACCTTTTTTTATAGTCAAATAATGTTTCAGTTCTGGATGTAAACTAAATATGAGTGAAATGAGGTGAAGTAAATTGCGCATTTATTATGAGCATGATCATTACTAAATTAGTATTAACACTGTTAATCCAAATTAAAATTATTTAGAATTTAAACAAAGTTAATTAATGTAAGAAAGAAGAGTTTGATTTTATAAAAGCATGTGACTAGAAGTATTTGAATTTATTATATCACTAATTCTATTAAAACTTTTGAGAACTAAATCCAAGTACCAAACACACATATTACCACCTTAAGTAAAATATATGATATTTCTTTATAATTTAGTGTTTTTTAAAGATCCTCCAATGAGTATAAGTTTGCCGCTTATAAGATCAGATATATTTGACTATTCTAATATCCCAACATCTTTCTTTTATTTGAATGTAATAACAACCCAAGCTGACACAAATTTTATACCATTGTGTCTGTTTTTGATAGCATAAAATTATGTTCTTTGCGAATTTTCCTATAATATCTTTAAAAACATTCCCTGGATTGGAATTCGAATTGATGAAACAATAAAGTAAATAATAAAGTGAGATGAATTCTGAGGAGTGAAACTTGGTATCTAAGTTCTTATGATGCACTAGGCAAAATTATATCAATCACAATGACATTGTTCTGAGTATGTATGAATGGGAGAGGATGAGGGATGTAGTGGGTATGGATTATGGTTAGAGAAAATATCTGTCATAGATGGGCATATTTGGCATTGTATGTCATAAGGACTGAGATTTCATAATAAGTAAATATTTTTGAAAATTTTAGTTTTATATTGCTTTCTATTTAATACCAACATTGAAAATTGAAAGGTATTTGGTTATTGGTGCAGGATTGGTGATTTTTGCTTGATTTTTGTAAGTTAAGTCACAAAACAAGGTTTTCCAGTCCCTTTAAATAAATATAATAATATTTAAAAAGTTTGGTGGTCCAGTTTTTTTAATATTGAAAACTTAAGATTTTTGCATATATTACATTTGAAGCTTCACTTAAGTTAATTAATTAATTGTATATCAGTTCATATGCCTTAAATTAAAGTATAAAATTATAATTTAAATGTGGTTGAAATTCAAACACTAAATTTCTTTACACAAATTAAACAGCGTAAAGTAGTTTTTTTGATTTTAATTAACATGATTTTTCTCTATGCAGTCTGCCTGTGACTACTGGTCGCTCGGCGTGGTAGCTTTCGAACTGGTCACTCTGAAAAGGCCATTCTCCTCCGGCGACGATGACACGCTGGCTCAGATCTTAGCTAATATCCAGAGGTATGACATACAGTATTGGGCTCAATCCCATGTTTTTTTTTAGAAGGCATATGATACACACTGATCTTTTGTGAAGCCATGGTACTAACAAGCATGCTCATTCCTGGAAAAGAAATTACCGCATTAAAAAAATTAAGAACCTATACATGTCCCACTGCTTGGCAAAAACCTCCTTTATACAGAGGGTACCAGGGCATAGTCCACCAAGCGGCCCCACTTCGGGCGGACTTCACACATCTTCGAATTTTTTTTTATTATTATTTCGAAGAATATACAGGTTTCCTAACTATGTTTTCCTTCACTGCTGAGCACATGATAAGTTAGCACTTAATATTAATTAACAAGTTAATTGGTACCAAGCACCCGGGAACTCAGGTTGCTTGAGTATATTGAATTTAAGGCAAGCGCCCAGACACTGAGCTATCACGGCTCTGCCCTGCATTAAAAATATGTTAAAAAACATATTTTATAATTTAAAAACATGTTCCAAGTCAAAATCAAAATTTCTTTATTCAATTTCGGCTTATTTTAAGCTCTTATTGAATTAAACCACCATTGTTTCACTAAAGTAGACCTGTCCAGAGAAGAACGGGAAGGAAACTGCAAATACAAGTATATTGTAGATGTATGCTTGCCATTGCAGTGTAGGAAGACCCCCCACTAGATGGAGTGACGACCTGCGCAAGAAGTCGATGGATGCAGGTGGCTCAGGATTGTACTTCGTGGCAGTCTATGGGGGAAGCCTACGTTCAGCGGTGGACTTTAACGGGCTGAAATGACGATGATGATTGTTCGGTTCACTATTGAACCAAACAGCTTTATTTGCACTTTTTACCTAAAGTCCATCAATACGTAGTAAGCATTAAAATGTACTGCGACGGAATTGAACCAGCGACCTATGGATTGCAGGTACGAGCGGGAGGAGGAGAGCGCGCCGCTGTTCGAGCCGCCGCCGCACGCGCCTTCGGCGGCGTGGCGATCGCTGGTGGGCGGGCTGCTGCGCGTGGCGCCGGCGCGCCGCTTCAGCTACCTGGACACGCTGCAGCAGCCGGCGCTCGCCCACCTGCGCCTGCACTCCATCCGCGACCAGGTGCGCCAACGTCCACACGAATGAATGAATGAATGAAATACCCTTTATTTCTTTCATTCATTCATACACCAGACAAAATTACAAAAGTAACAAAAAAGTACATAGAGATATAAGGTGCTATTAATTAATGTCACCACCATATTATCTGCTATTTTGAACGATGCGCGACGCATACAAGCGACGGTACCTTCATGGCGACCAATAACAACATTTACAAATTCCAAGTTGTTTAATTAAACCATTCTCAACTATATTTAATGTATTTTGTTATGATAAAGAAATGTTACTTCTTACTTGCATAAATAAGTACACAAACATTAATTGAGGTAGAATACATTGAATGGTAGAATACATATTTTATATTTATTGTTAACTTGTTGTTAATATTTAACTTGTTCATTTAATTTGTTGTTGTTAAGTTTATTGTAAATATAATAAATATATAATACTTTTCTTTATTCAAATACATGATTTTTATTCTACTCGATCTTTTCTTATAAGAAATGCTAATACCTTCCGTCTGTCGTATATACCTCACAGGCGCCTCCGTGGGTACCTCACTTGCGCGGTGCCGAAGACGCGTCGTATTTCAACCCGCCTCCTAGAGGGACGCCACCACCCTCCGCCGCGCCTTTCCGCACTCGCCCTCCCTTCGCCGGCCAATTGCCTTTTGTGGGTGAGTGGTTATTGTTACTTTGATATCAATGTTTGTAATAAATTAACAGACAGCTCAAGAATTCTTAACAGCTTAGACTTTTTTTTTCATAACAGACTTTGTGGTAATGCTTATGCAGTGTTAATATATATTAAAGTATTATTTCAGATTACGTAATATTGCTTTATTGTTACTTAATATTCCTTAATTTTAAGTAAGTGGTTAAGGAAAGTAGCATGGAAAACAATAAGTATATTGTATCCTCTCACAGGATATTCTTACGTTGCTGCGGATGAAAGCGAAGATAGTACTGGAGGTTTCAATGCTTCGCACGATTGTACCGCCATCGATCTAGCTACTTTTAAGTAAGTAATTTCCACGCATTATTAATTAAACCAAAGAAAAAATTGAGCTGAATTATAAAAAATTTGAAGTACAGTTTGGTGATAAGATAACATTACATATTCTTTTAAAATTGATAGAATTTTAAAAGAAAAACTACTTAAAAATGAATAATTTTAACATAGAACATTGCCTGTGCCTATCATATTTACTGTCAGTGCTATCATATTACAGTGAAGTGGTTTGTAAATAACTAAATTAACCCACCTATCAAACCAACTATATAGTGCCAGAGTCAGGAAGTGGCTCTTATTGCCTATAGAAGTACCACAGTCTGAAAGGAGACTGGTATTCTAATATACTGTTATGAACACACAAAGGAACTAATAATACATATATTAATAATAATGAATTTCCACTGAAAATTTTGGTTACCATAACCTCATGTATGTTAAGTAGGTAGGTAGTAGACAGTTGCTTGGCTTTAACGTTTACACGTTTCAGATCGGCCGAGAAGTTGGCGGTGATGCGGGGCCGGGAGATCGCGTCGCTGCAGAGCAAGCTGGCGGAGGCGGAAGCGGCGGCGGGAGCGGCGGCGGAACGCGCGCGCCGCGCCGCGGATTCCGACGCGGAGAGGCAGCGGGCGCGGTTGCAGGCCGAGATCACCGCCCTCAGCCTGCAGAATAAGTGAGCCACAATAGCTAGTCGACCCGGATGGCGTAGTGGGTGGTGAAGCTGGCTCCCGCGCCGCGCGGTGTGGTATCGATCCCCACTACTGGAAAAAAATTGTGTTATGAGCGTAGTATATCGAGTGTTTATTATATATGTTTAGGTATATTTATCAGTTACCTAGTACACATAGTACAAGCTTTGCTTGGTTTGGGACTAGGTAACGCTGTGTAAAAATATTTTCAGGAATATTTATTTTATTTTTATTTTACTTTTTACTTGTGTATCGCCTCAGCGAATTTGGCGCGTGTATTTATTATATATTGTATTTACATTGTTATTATTATTATTACATGGTGTGAGGAAAACCATTTAATATTATCATATCAACTACATTTTATGCCGTTTAACGAGTTATTTCCTAATACCACAGCTTTAGAAGGTCTTTCCCAAACTCGAATACATGTAGAAGCAGCTGCTTTATTAAAGCTACTGTTTTAAAGATACTGTTACCACTTCTACGGACATTAGATAAAGTTGACAGTAGCCCTGACAAATCGATGCTTATATTTCCAGTCCTGTATATAATAGTTATTAAGCCTATGAAATCAGTAAACATACTATAGCAATCATGTCATTAAATTCATTATGTCATATTGTTTCGTAGGCGGCTCGAACGTCAAGTAGAGGTGGAGAAAGAGGAGCGCATGGCCCTACAACGTACCAACCAAGAATTATCGTCGGGCATCGTAGAACGTAGCAACGGAGAGCTACGTGCTACACAGGCACATGTAGCTGAATTGCAAACTGAGCGGGACTCGTTAAAGGAGAAACTTATCAGATTGGAGACCCGCCTTTCCGATTTGCAAACAGAGAACATTCGTGCCCACCAAGCTGCTGAGACAGCACGCGCCCAACAAAAGCATTATAAGGTATGGAGAAGAATTAACCAAATGAAGAAGTAATTCTATTATTATACATCAATTCTTGCGGATTCTTATGTGTGCAATGCATGTCGTGAAACATGTATGTTTATTATAATTTTAAATAACAATTATCCATATTATTCATGATTTTCGAAGAGATCTTTTTTTAACATTCCTCAGTTAGGAAATAACACCTACATAGGGGCAAGATAACATAATCTTTATGCTATCTGTGTGGTCTATTTCATTCTAATTCTTTATATTTCTATATATAAAATATTTCTCACATCTCTCACATGATCTAAATAATTTTTAACAGGATATTATACAGCATGCGCAAGATTTAAGACATAGAAGGCTCACGGAAATCAATGTGCGGGCCGTTGTGAGTCCACCATTGACGATAATTATATTAAATTTGTGTTAGTTTATGAACTTACTACATCATAATGATATTGCATTATTATGTTATAATAAGTTCATCTTTGTCCATATATACATTTGTTAATTGTACTTTTTAGTAGTTGTAATAAAGTGTTTTGGTGGCTGCTATTTGTTATTCTCTATAATTATATTAGTTTAGTGTATACATATATATATAATCAAATATTTTTCCTATATAAAATGGTGGCATGCTATTTGAAATAAATTATAAAACATAAGTGATTTAGTAAAATTTAATTAAATTTCATTTTTATAAATTGTTTGGTACTTAAAATTATAGTATCTGTAGTATTAATAATTTAGTCAATATCTTAATTTTAATTTAATTTGTAAAGGTTCTAAACATAAAAGTTAATAAGTTCCTGGTAACAGTGGCTAAGTTGTATTTATAATTTGCATCTAAAATAATAGGTGTAAATGTCACAATGTTAAACGGAAGTTTAACATTGTGACATTTACATACGTGTGTATACTGTGTGATTACGAGTAATAACGAGGGGCTATCATAGATGGAATGCTGGTAGGTATAACAAATTATTTCTGAACTTCTCTCACATATATACAACGTGGCGCTACTACCGCGACCTTAAATAAACAAACATATATTTTTCGGTGGTAGGACCACGCAACAGTTTACGTTGTTGCACAAATGGGCAGGTCCGTCCGGGTAAGTACCACGCCCACAGAAGACCGGCGTAAAGTGGAAATACTTCCGCGTTTCGTCTTGTGAGTGAGGTAGCCGGGGCCCACTTTATTATAAGGAGGCAACGCATCTTCAACCCTATGCATATGTCCAAGGGCGGGTTGTCACTTACCATTAGATGAACCGCCAGCTCGCTTGCCACCTTCTCACATAAAAAAAAATAGAGGATAACTTTTAAAATTGTATTAAACATTCACTTTCATTAAACATGAATGTTTACAGAGTTGTTTAATTTTACAAAACAAATAACTTTAAAACAACCCTACATATAATACTGTAAAGTTCATTTGTAAAGGTCACAAAGCATATGAATTGGTTGAATGAATTCAAAAGAGATAAAACATACTGTTAGAAGGAGAGACTTGTAACGCGGTGTTGTGGAAACTAATGAAAAAGCCTCTGAATGTATATTGATTCATACAGAGTCGGTTGTATAGGATGTTACAAATTTTGTTTCTTTTTTTTAATTAGTTTGTTTTATAAAATTCTGGGTTTTTTTTACATCGTTATATTTTTTATGATTTTTGACAAGTAGCGTTACAGATGTGTTGATTTAAGGTCGCGGTCGTAACACCATGCTGTATAATATTGATGTTTCTGTGTATAGCCGCACATTACGTGGTATATCACTAAATTATCGATTGGCGCGTCGATCCAGGACTCGATCGCGAAGGAGCGCGCGCTGCGGCGGCAGACGCTGAGCGGCGGCGAGGCGGAGGGCGCGCGGCTGGCCGCCGCCGAGGCCCGCCGCCGCCGAGCAGGGCCGCCGGAGGGCCCACGCAGAGGCGCGCCTCGCCTCGGCCGACGCGGAGGCGGACGCGCTCAGGGCAGAGCTGGACGCCGTCCGCGCCCAACTGGCCGCCGCTCAGGTCGATCCTGTTTAAATATATAGACGACTCGTGTCCATATTGCTCTGCATTATATGACATGTACAAGTGAATGTGACAGATGATGTATACGGAAAGAGACATCTATCTCATATTTGTATATAACATCATTGGGTCAGGTATTTTTTTCTTTTGAAGAGGTTATAAATATCCCACAGCAGCTCCTGCCGTTGCACTATTGGCTACTGTGGTCCGAAGAACTGCTCAACAAGAGGCAGACGGAAGCGTCTAGACGGTTCACCTGTATTAAGTGATCACCGTCCTCCTAAATCTATCACGCGTGCGACGTGATATATTTATATCTTACATTTTGAAAAGTAGTCCCCGCTTACTTAATGAAACGGAGAAGTATAACACTTCCACTTCACGTCAGTGTTCTGTGACGCCTTAATACTTACCCAACGCAACTGCAGAAGCCCCTGCGTGGCGCTCCTAAAATATTGGAACACTTTTCTTTTCGATTCATCATTGATTCTAATTAAACTTAAACTTTTTATCTTTTTTGGAATCGATTGCTTCCACCTAGAATTAAAACACTAGTAAGCAATCAAATGGTAGATACTAAGAAATTATTGTGACGTTTTTAGGAGACACTCATAGAGAGGCGACGCGAATCGGAAAATGCCACGAAACAGCTGAGCGAGGAACAACTGCAACTTACTCAAGAACGTATGCAGACGAAGGCGTTGCGTGCACAAGTGCAGGTAATAAGGCGGACAATAAGTACCAGAATAAAGATATAAAGCTGAGAAATAAACATATGATTACAATAAATTGTTAATAACTACAACGGCTTAATGAATATTCGAACATCATCGATAAATTGATAATAACCAAAGGATATTTATATTTAATTTTCGAAATTAATACAGACTATCTCAAATTAATAATTTTCGGATTAACTCGGGTTCATTTCATATCTCAAAATAAACACATATACAAACAAGAAGAAAGAATAAAATCCATTTATAATATTATCCTCTGTAGTAAGGACGTTTTACAAACATAAATTTCACGTGGACTAACATTCAGATGCGAAACAACTATCGGTGAATCACACAAATAGTTGTCCCGTATCGGAATCGAACCCACGACCCCCGACCTTGGCCAATACCTTGGTCATTGCGCCACGGAGTCACGAATCGCATCGGCAGGAGCTGGAGCGCGGCGTGGAGGAGGCAGCCCGCCGCGAGGCAGCGCTTGAGGAGCAGAGCTCGCGAACGGAGGCGCGCCTCAGGGAGCGGCTCGACGAGGCGGAGGCGCGCGCCGCCGCAGCGCTGCACGACGACTCGCGCCGGAGGGAGAAGGTCACCTTACAAATGACGCCTACTTTACTTTTTTTTAGTTAGCTGGCGGTTCACCTGATGTTAAGTGATAACATGCAAAATATGGGGAAGGCAGCAACAGTCAAGAAGTAATCTTGGGGTGAATGAAGGCTGTCGTATCGTCCCGATATATACATTACTATGCATGGAGTACGCGGTCTTTGATAAAGAAGCAAAAGTTTCATAAAAGAAATATCGACAGGTCAACAGCCTGGAGCAGCTGGTGCGGCAGCTGGAGCGCGAGGTGAGCGCACTGGAGAAGCGCGGCTGCGTCGAGTGCGCGGCCCGCGCCGAGCTGAGCGCCGAGCCGAGCGCCGAGCGGCTCGACGGGCGGCCCGACGCGGCGGACGGGGGTGCCCCGCGCGGCGACCGCAGCGACACCGAGAGCGCGCCAGACCTGCAGGCGCAGCTGCACGCCGCCCTCCTCAAGGAGCAGCTGGAACGGGCCGAGGCGCAGCTGCAGGTGGGGAACCTCTGCCGCCTGAGCCACGGGCCAAACTTAAATTGCTTTGAAGTGTTTGTTCATTAACAGCTGCTTATATTTTTATTAAAGTCATACATATACTCTTTTTATGTGTTGGGAACTTCTGCCGCCTTGGCGACGGGCCAAACTTAGATTGCTTTGATAGTGGTCTGTGTTATATTTCATTAACACCTTGACTTCCCATATTCTTAAAAGTCATCAGTAGACTCACGTTTTCTCAGAGTTTTTAGTTTTAAGTGAAAGAGTTATACTTCTGCGTTTCGTCTGGTGAGTCAGGTAGCCGGTTTTAAATGCTTTCCCTGTTTTATAAACACTACGTTTCTATTAAAATATGTAGAAAAAGTGCGAAAAGATTGTCGCCGCTGTGGGAATCGAACCCACGTCTTCGGCATTCGCGGCCTGACGCTCTAGCCACTGAGCTAAACGGCTGATTGCCACACCGACGAAAATCTTAACGTATTCTTCTACATTGTTTTCTTAGCATTTGAAGCAATGCTTGACGCCATCTATTGTTATATCCTTTCCAGCATACAAACAGTACGTTTCTATATAATATGTCATCAAATGACGAATTCTCGATAAGAACATTATATCATACCAAAATATTTACTTATCTCGCAGAAATATTGCTTATTTTCGACACTGAACAGTTGATGAATTATGTGAGCGCAAATAGAATAGAAAAGCTTAAAAAAATCGTGTCATGTCATGTTCTGTTAATATTCAATTATACATAATATTGGTTACTTATAAAATATGTAAAATAATGACATATGAATAATTAATACCTTGATGTCCCGAATTTGCTTCAGATTTAATATTATGAAGTTATAATACAACTCACTCATAATAAATTTGTTGACAATGTAATTACAATTCTTTAAATATACCTATAGGCTCGTGCCGATGAAATTGCAGCGTTGCGACAGGAGACCCGTGCAGCTAATTTAGCCAAATGGCGAAAGGTAAATACATTTATTTTAAGATTAATATGTACTAATCAGTAGTAGATCTAATAATGTCGATATAAAGTGTGTACTAAAATACTACTTTATTATTTTGAAATCACATACTACTGTTCGTACTTATTATGGCGTATTTTAAAAGTGAAATTGACTATTTACATTCATTTAGTCACAATAAACACTCACTGATATTTTAACAATTGTTCAAAATGGGGTCCATTTATCTCAATACAAATCTGAATTTTTGTCCCACTGTAAGACAGGTGAAAATTAATATGTAAATTTTACTGTGAACGAACTTGTGTGCGTGTTAGTTATGAATGATCGCGCGTAAAATAAATACGTTGCGTATAAATCACGCAGTTTTTGAGATAAGTTCAAATGAATGTAATTAATTACTTAAGAGTGATTTTAAATATTTATCATTTTTATATAACATTATTTATGTCTAGAATTTAATAAAAACAATGGATACACTTAGAAAAGCCACCCTGAATAAAAAAACACACCTTTTAATTAATGCAGGAACGTGAGTTCAACGAACTCTCGATGGAGACGAAGTCTACTGCGCGCGAGCTGAAACGCACCGAGGAGCGACTCTCCGCCGTGTTAGAGGCTCGCAAGGCAGCCGAGCAGAGGGCCTCCGCGCTGAGCTCCGAGCTGAGCGCGCTGAGACCGCAGCACGAGAGCGCCGCCAAGGAGCTCGACGAGCTCAAGGAGCGGCTGGCCCGGCTGCAGAAGCAGCACGAAGGGGCGCAGAACGAAGTGGACCGGTCCGTTTGTATTCTATTCTCATGAGAAATGGTAGCAATTGTATCTCATCGAAGAGGTTCACAAGATATCAAAAGAGAGAGTTTCCTGATCGGTGAATTTAGCGTTATGTGCCGTTTGAATACTGACACGGCCTTCAGAGACTTAATTTTATAACATCTTACATATATGTTACTTTTTCTCTTGTACACGTGAATAGGCCATCCTCTTTCATAGAGTTTAATACCAGGACCCGTAGTCTTCCTTCGTTGTTCTTGTGATGTATCATGCGCGTCGAATACCATCCAGGTCGCGCAACGATATCCGCAAGCTGAAGAGCGAGCTGCAGTACAGCGAGAAGCGGCGTCTCCACGCCGAGGAGCAGGAGGAGCTCTCCAGCCGCGAGCGCGCTCAGCTCAGGGACGAGCTCACCGCACTCAGGGCTCAGAACAACGACTTGACGCTGGTACGGTGGAGCTGGTATTTTTTTTTTTCATTTTAACACTGTCCAAGATAACGTTATGCCGTAAATTATAAAACAGGTACAAAGCAAGCACAGTCAGCGAGCACATACGCATATGTCCAATTACCGAGCAAAAGCCTCCTCTGTGCAGAAGATTGGTAGACTTACAAATCTTCGAAATTTTTTTATTTTAATATTATTTCGAAAAGTATGGCGACATCCTCACGATGTTTTCATTCACTGCTGAGCATGGCTTAAGTCAGCAATAAAATTGCAACAATTTCGATATGAACTTGGGTTGCTCGAGTGTTTGAATTAAAGGCGAAACTCCCGGTCACTGAGCTATCATCACGGGTCTAAATGTGCTGAATTTGATATTATTTAGTGTCCTCTAATTCATTTTTTCATCATCTTATGTTAGACGCGATTAAAACAAATTAATCGTAATTTATAAGCACCCAGAATATGATGAAACGATCATCGATCCGCGGTGCTAAACCCAGTAACAAAGCAATAATCTTTAGCCATCAAGAACAATAATCAGTCCCACCAAGAGCGAGTTTGTTAAACGCCTCGAACATAGGTTAGGTTAAACGCCAACGTTGTTAAACGCCTCGAACATAGGTAGGTTTTGATAAATTTATTAGAGGTGTTCTGTTTAAAAAAAAAATTACGGAAAACTGACAAAGAGGCACCGCTATTCATACTCGAAAATATCATGTATGTACGAAATAATATCCAACTTTTTACAAAAAATCGCTGGAAATACCAAGATAAATTCTTTTAGTTTACTTATATAAGTAAAAAAAGAGATAAGATCGCACAGTTTCTTTCCTCTGGCCAAGTCGAATTAAGTGAACCGGTGATAGTTTTATGACCTAAAATAAGTCCATATTGAATAAATAAACTTTGACCGACTTTGAAAGCGGAAGAAGTATACTTCTTGCACCACTATCAATATTCCCTAAAAGAGATTTGCTTTCTTAAAAAATGCCCCGTAGCCTGTTAACGTTAAACTATTTCCATAATACCTCTCAGCACTACAAAACAAAAGAATATTTGTAACCCTGTTGCAATTCGAAAACAATAAGCGTATACAATGGAACGGCAGCATATGTGGCTGCAGTAAATAAATATTTTTTTTCGCGAAGGCATGCATAGTGCATTATCGCCAACATTAAAATGTTTATCCTGTATAGTCAGTCACCTGTAAAATAATCTGAGTATATACCTGTAACACGATTTGGAAGAGTCGTCTTTTTAGAAGCAAAAAACTAGCCGAACCGTTTCATTATTTGTTGTCGGCCACCCGATGCCGTCATCCTGTATTCTTCATTGTTTTGTTGCCGTATTTTGTAAACAACGCATCATCAGCGCGCGCAATCACGTCGCCTCGTTCGGGCACAGTCATATCGCAGCGGGGAGTTGTCGAGAATAGTGTTACGAACAAGTCGCGCGGACGTAAACGAGAATGTGGGCCAGTCCTCGGAATCCATCGTGCTGAATCCGCCCACCGCCGACACATGCTGCCGCGGCTCGCCCGCCTGCTGCTGCGCAAACGTAGAAACGACCATTCGAATAGCAGACCGTTCTCGAGGATACGGATTCGGGTGGCTGTCGCGATGGAGCCCCTTCAGGGTCGGTGCAAGCGCAAACCAGAGGGGGAGAAGCCGGCCGTGAAGCCGAAGCCGGCCTACCTTAAAGCATCGGGCGCTAACGGCTGGACGCAGCGCTTGCGGCTGGCACTAGCGGCGGATATCCTGCAGGGCCGGTGTCGCGCCGTCGACTCCGCTTTCACGGCGGCCCAAGCGCATTTCACGACGGTACGCTTGGCACCTCCACAGCCGAGCTTGCAAAGCGGTCAAAGCTAGCAAAAGTTGTATTGCGGACGCGAACGCCCCCAAGATTCTGCGTAGTTCGAATTCATTCTTATGTATAAAAATCAGTACTTTTTTTTGTATGTTTACCTTTTACGCTGTCGTACCGTTTATCTCGTCGTGTGCGAAGTTTGTAGGTGTACAATTAAGTTTTAGCGGGAGACGCTTGGTTCGTAACGGAATATATTACTCCATGATAATGACGCTTCAAATTACAAATGATATTTTTCAAATTATTTCTTCTGCGGCAGCAACGTGGTAGATATCGTCTAGTATATCATAAAAATACTTAAATAGTTATTAAAGTAACATAAGTCCATCACGAAAATAATTTAGGTTTACTGAGCTTAGAGCCCTGTAATCTTTTAATCTTAATTGTAGCTTGGAAGAATTAAAAAAAAAACCGTACACTTGATATCCCCATCCGATTTGGTGGCTTGGTTTCTTGTAAATTTAATTGTATTCACGTTTCAGAATAACAAAGCACTACAAGAAACTTGTACATTATTAGAAGACCAGCTCACAGAATTGGAGAAGTTGACAGATTTACATGAAATAAAGAACAAAGATCTTGAGGTAAATGCTTGTGTCATTATTATGTATTTTATACATTATAGTTAACTTTTTTAAAGGTCATCATTAAAGTAAGATAAATGAGTCTACCTATAAACTTTTTGAAGTTCATATTGAAGATTTTTACAATGCGTTTAATAAATATATCTTAACGTAATTTGCTCCATAAAGGAACAGAAATTTCTAACGTTACTTAATTGTTTGCATTAACATAAGCCTCTTAAACTCTAAGAGAGTTTTTCATATAATAATATTATTCTTTTCTGTGAAAGCGTTTGATTTAAAATTTTTACCAAAATGTAAGATATCATTGTCACTATCGTGTAAAAATCAAACATATCGTGGCCAACGTACGCGATATTTGATCAATCATAATATATAGCATTGTATCATTTATATCGTGAAATAAAGTAGAAAGTTGCAAAATTCAAAACATGTTCATAAGTTGATTCATAACCATTAAGCACTACTATCTTTTGTGTTCGTTTTTTAATGCAACTATAACTAACACCACAAATATTCACGTTATTCATTTACCAACATTTTATGAATCAGTGCTCTCAACTAAGATTTTTTTCATGGTTGTGTTATATGTTTTAAATTAGAGTACTTAAGTATTTAATAAAAATCTTGATAACCCATTTAGAGAGAGCTTTGTTCATAGCGGTTTCTTTTATGTGAAAAGGTGACAAACGATCAGACGAATCACCTGATGTTTAGTGAATACCTGTTACAAACGCGATTCCAAATTTAAAAAGACAGGGTTCAGCTTACCTCACCCACGAGACTTGACGTAAAGGGATAATACTCCCACTTCACGATTAGCGAAGCCGTGTTGAAAGTGCGTGGTCCCACCACAGTTAGGTATTTTTACTTGTTATAATTATCCGACCTTATGCTATTCCTATATATTTGCGTTTCATCAATTTTTTCATCTTCATTATCGTGTTTGCGTATACTGATAATGATTCAGCGCCGGGGGCCGGGTTTGATTCCCAGAGGACATGGTATTTACGTGTCACAGATAATTGTTCCAGATATTTTTTCCCAAGGACGGTTAATGTCCGGCGGGCGGCTAGTTGTAAAAATAATCAGTACCATTAACAAAATGATTCTCGTGATGTGACCGCACCTAAGCAGAAGAAAAATGTAGAAGCAGTCAACACGAAGATGCGCCAAGAGCATATATTGTTAAACAAATTCAAAAATCAATGTAGATGTGAAGATTTTCGTCGGTGTTGCAATCGGCCGTTTAGATTAGTGGTTAAAGCGATGGCAAAAAAACTTCGTCCATTTTTCTACAAATTTTAAAGCACTAATCGAAATATAATTATTACCAGGGCGAGACGCAACGGATGCGATCAGAGCTGGAGGCGTGCCGAGCGCGGCTGGTGGAGGCGGAGCGTCTTGGGGCGGATCGCGCCTCGGCCGCTGGGCTGGCGGCGCAGCGGGGCGAAGAGGCGCGCGAACAGGCGCGTGCCGCCAACGCGCAGCTTCAGCTGCTAAGGGTGAGTGCACGCTTTATCGTACAGCTGCTAAGGGTCAGTGCACACTTTGTCATACGGCTGCTATGGTTGACTGCACACTTCATCATACAGCTGCTAATGGTGATTTTACACTATAAGATACAAGTACAAAGGGTTGAGAGGACAATTTATTATACAGCTGCTAACGGCGATTGCACATTTTATGTGAAATTTCAAATAATCACGCATTGGCTACTTCAGCACTTAACGTACGTTCTGTGCACAGGAGCGCGTGGAGAGCCGCGAGGCGCGCGTGGCGGAGCTGGAGGCGCGCGAGGCGACGCTGGAGGGCGAGCGGTCGGCGGCGGCGGCCGCGCTGGCAAGCGCCGCGCGCAGGGTGCGCGACCTGCAGGAGGAGTGCGCCGCGCTGCGCACGCGCGCCCACCACCACCACGCGCACGCGCTGCAGCTGCAGGCCAGCCTCGCCGACGCGCAGGTGCGTCGGAACCAGTGAATGAATGAATGAATGTTGTGTCCGTAAACGGATCTCTACGTTACGAGCACGCGCGGTTGACGTGCGGCGAATGGAACGAACGAGTGAACGTTGCATCCGTGAACTAATCTGTGCTATACGCGCTCGTGCGGTTGACAAAGGCTGGATGGAATTAATGAGTGGATGTTGCATCCATGAAAGAATCCCTTACGCTGTTAGCAAACCACTTTCCGCGTCACACTTTAAGTTGAAAACTTTCCAACTGTTTGAATTTCCTTTTTTTTTTCAATCCAATGAATGAATTTACGACGAAATAGATGAAATGTTATCTGCTTCCAACCGGTCTTTTTTAAATTCGGAACCTGGTATGAATATATGATCCTTTTAGAACATTTTAAATGCATGTTTAAAATTTCGCAATACTCTATCTACGTGTTGATATTACATTCTAAACTCGTTGCTTTTGTCAGAAACATCTAACACGTAATATTGCGTGCTAACGTAGCTGTTCTGATCAGGAGGAGGCAGCGGCAGCACGCGAAGCGAGCGATGCAGCGGGCGCTTGGTGGCGAACGCGCGAAACAAAGGCCGACGCAACCATTCGCCAGCAGGCGAAGCTCATCGATTTCCTGCAGGTTCATACACAATGCGCTGAACTTACGAACCTCTGAAGTCATGGAAAGTCGCTACGCAGAACTCGATTTATAAGTGTTTGTTACATTCAAGGTGCCTGAGAGAGAATTTTTCTCTCCCGCTCTAATGCAGGCTAATTTGCTTATCAAATGAGTGTAATACACTGATGACAGACAAGAAAATATACAAGGCTAAAAAGAAATTTCATTTCAGGCAAAGGTGGAGGAAGCAAATCGCAAAAAGTGCTCGCTAAGTAATAAATTGTTTGGACGATCCGGCCGTAGGGCGGCCGCGTCCCCACCTTTACTGCGAGTTAACAGGTGACTTGCTGGAAAAATTATTTTTATGTCATGGTACAGAACTAATTTTCCATTCGTGTGAAAGCGCAATCATGTTGATTATTGAGTTTAGGTTTGGTTGATTCTTCCTATGTTTATATTTTTCTGATATTTGACATTATTATCCTACACGTGATAAGTCAGCACTTAAAGTGACTTATCGCGTGCTGCGCGGTAAAGAAAAACATCGTGAGGAAAACTGCATATTTTCGAACTAATAACAAAAAAATATTTCGAAGATATGTGAAGTCCGCCAATCCGTGGTGGACTATGCCCTGATACCCTCTGTATAGAGGAGGTCTTTGCCCAGCAATGGGACGTGTGGACAACAACTAAGTGCAACTGACTGCAATTGACCGCATTTTCTCTTAGAAATACTGTAGTTAATATTGAGTACCACTTGGGTGAAAACGTTTATACAAACACTTTTTTATTACAATAAAAGAGATTTTTTGAAAATACTACACATTTTACAGAGAGCTGCGTGAGGAAGTTGAACGTTTACGAGCTAAGCTTGCTGCGAACGATATGTACGTAAATTTATTCCTAAAACATCCTAAATTTTGGCGTTTTGCATGATATATTTTAATAATACTTTTATATTATTACAGACCGCCAACACCAAGACGAGAGAAGCCTATTGAGAAACCTAAGAAAATTGTGAATGAGTAAGTGCTATTATGGGTAGATTTAGTTTTAATTAATAATAGAAAGAAATGTAATATATTATTGGTACCCCGTGGTAAAAGAGGCTAAAACACCTTAATATCTACATAAAAATTACAATTCATTTGTATATAATAAAGTTTACAAACATGATGCAATATTGTATGCATATTAAAAATTTGGATACATAAACTCACCAACCTAATCATGATTTAGAAGTTAATCTTTATTATATAATTTTTATTACAGAATAAGAAGTTTGGATTTTTCGGATGATGTGCCGGAACCTTCGCTATTAATTATATGGTAAGATAGTCTCGAAACTAAAAACTCATTTAATATTTTACTTTGACTCGGTTTGAGATGTTGAACCACTAGAACTCAATCCGTGTTTGTGGAATCCATCTTACACGGTACATTCTCAAAGGATTGAAAATATCCAAAGAGCCTTCACGGCTTTTCAAATGTTATTTTAGTTGCCAAAAGGATGGTTAAACACTTTGAATTGATCATTCTAATCATTAAGAAAATCACTCTGGTAGTACATAAGTGATAAAGTCGTCAGTAGTGGTCTTAAGGTGTCGTGTCGATGTTTGAATCCGTTTCACTTAAGCTAAAGCAACCAGAGATCAAAGCGATATGCACAAACAAAATTATTAGTTTCCATTCGAAGTGCATTTTACGACAGTGCCTAAGTTTTAACACGTCTATACAAACGAAATTATTGACCAGCTGTGAGAAATATATTTACGCATTTAAATTAAACCTTTATTCTAAACACTGTAATCATATGCTCACTTGCCTCACAGTTAAATATCAAAAAAAATACTCAAATTTTAAAATCGAAAACACTTCCCCTAAATTTTTGACCTCTTATTCGCAGTATACTTCTTATTCGCAATCCGTACAGCAAACTATACCGCTAATTTTCATGCGCCCGATGCCCATAAATACAACTAAAACATTTTAACCCAGCATTAAAGGATCGACCGTCCCTACTCTATAAAATACACGGTCAACCTCATGAGTATTAATTTTTCGGCGCCCTATAACACAACTCCTTTCGGACTCCACATAAAAGCAACTTGAGTTTGCATGCTCCTGTTACAAGATTCTGCAATTCTTACAACACTATCTGTATAGAGCTACCCAGTATACAGCGTGTCGTTACCATCGCGACACTAAATGAACACGCGTCTAACGCTACATAAAAAAAAATATTAACGTTAAACAAAATAAATAATTAAAAAAAAATATTTTTCAAACAAACTAATTAAGTAAAAAAGAAACAAAATTTGTAACAACCTATACAACTCGCGCCACTGCGTCGTATTACAAGCCTCTCTTTCTAACAGTATGTTTTTTCTCTTTTAAATTCATTCAACCCATTCATATGCTTTGTGACCTTTACAAATGAACTTTACGTTACGCTTTTATAAGTAAGGGTGTTCTAAAATTCTTTGTTTTGAAAAATTTAATAACTCTGTAAATATTGATGTTTAAAGAATTTAAATGTTTAATACAACTTTAAAAAGTTATCCCCTATATGTGTGTTCATTTATTGTCGCGATGGTAACGACACGCTGTAGATCTATTCCATTTAAGTCTTAATAAATTTAAGAAAATTATTTCAAATCACGTCTGTTAATATTTTAATTCCTGTTCATTTTAGTTTTAATTTAGATTGTTGTAATTATTCTGTATTTTTAATGTATATTTTTGTGTGTTTTTCTTTCTTTTTAATTTTGTTCTGAAATTAATTTGTTTTTTTAAATATTTTTACATTTATTTTGGTTCAGTCTAGTTGATCCTGTAACAATGCTGTGTCACCTAATCAGGTACATGCATCAGAAATTTAGTATATATCTTACTAATTAAATGTTAAAGTATGTACTGCTGGTGTCCTTTTTAAATAAAACAAAATAAAACTCCGTACAATTAGTTATTATTACCATGACAAAATGTTAATATCGTAAATAAAACTAAAAATAATGCATAGGTCTTCTCATATTTTAATCTTTTACTTGGTGAATTGGTTGGTTTAAGGTGTTGAAAAACCATTAGAATCTGTGGCAACAGGTTATTATTAGAACTACACAATATTCTAATTGCACATAAAACTAATGTGTTTTAAACACGGTTTAATGTTTCGCCGGGGGTTTCGATAGTGATACGATTAGCTTTTATGATCCGATTGTCGTTTTCAGGTCTGACGGGACACGCGAGCGGATGGGCTGCCGCGCGGAGGGCTCCGGGCTGCTCTTGTCCCGCGACGGCAGGGAGCTGCGCGCGCGGCTGCTCTCACCGGACGCCGCCAACTTGCCCCACAACGAGGCCAACAGGGCCTTCTTGGTAAACTGACCTAATGGCTCCGCTGCGCAGTTGCTCCGTGGGTTCGACTCCCACACGAGGCGACTATTCGTGTGATCTGGGTGTTTGTTCACGTGAAATTTATGTATGTGTATGTGCTTACATCACGGGACAATATTATCCTACAGTTAAGGGCAATGTTTTCTAACGGCAGACTACAATAGATCGTCTAGGTCGTTGGGACTAGCGCCTCAGAGCGCATTTTCATTAGATAATTCTGTCCGTATTCCATGACGGTTCCTTTCCTCCAGTGACAGGAAGCATAACGTTGCGGAATAGTTCGCCGGCGCTAGTTTTCCCGCATGATATCACATGTACAACCTGTTTAGTATTTTATTTATGTGAGAAGGTGGCAAAAGAGCTAAAAAAGCTAACCTAATGTTAAGTGATAACCGCCACCCATGTACACCCACAAGTACGTAAAAGCCGAAGCTCCGCAAACACCAATATAACCAATGATCTCACCATTGAGTTACCTACTTAGAATACTCCTGCACGATTTAAAGATGGATGATTAATATTTATATTAGTGCTAGTCTCTGCATTCAAGATGAAACTTAAAATGTGAATTTTTAAACTTGTTCGTGTCAGAAGAAAAGTTCGAATACCGCAGGGCCGAAAGTTTTTATTTATCTATCTACAAAAATTTACATTTTATTTAAAATGAAGTTACATTATTTTGTATTAGTTTGATAGATCAATTTGCAATAAACTTTAAAATAATTTGCTACCGTAATAACTAATTAAAGACGTTAATACAGATAAAAGTGGAGAGCTGCACTGAGGAACGTTCGGAGGCAGTGGCTGTATGCTCGAATATAGCGGAGAGGGCAGAGTGGGTGTCGAAGCTGCGTGAAGAGCCAGCCGTCGGGTACCAGCCTTTGCTCCTGTGTGAAATGCCAACTCTTGCCAACACTGCACTATACGTGGCACCCCACGCTATTGCTATTGGTTAGTGCTGCCGATTGTTCTACAGTGTAGTTTTTACTATGACGCTGGGATAATGACTTATACCATTTTTTTTACCATTAAAATACAGATGCTATTGCCACTTTTTACCAAAGTGGGCATCACCTCATAACAGACAACGCAGTATTATAATACTTCAACTTCACGCTGGTCTGTGAGGTTGTGTTACTCCCAGACTCACAAGCATACCTTGTAGTTTATTTGCTTACCATGATTATTTCCTGTATTGATTAGACATGGCAGATACATGTATGTACATTCGTATATAGCAATCATGAAATTACTTGCAACTCACTTTTCAGGGTGCGCGGACGGGCTGCATTCGCTGCGCGGGCGGGTGGGCGTCGAGTGGGATGGCGATATGTCGCCGCCTCGCTCGGAGGAGGGCAGCGTGCGCGCCTTGGCGGCCGGAGGGGGGCGCGCGCTGCTCGTGTGCGGGGGCCGGCTGGCGCACGGCGGGTTGCTGGCGCTCGGCTCGGCGCTGCGCCGCTCCGCCACCCTCAGGCCGGCCCTGACTCTTCGTACTGTCCGCCTGCCCGATACCACGACGCCGCATCTAGTCAAGGTGAACCCGGCTAAATGTTCTAATTCATTAACCTATGATGCCTCACAAGCGAACGGTCCAACTGTAATGCCAGTGTCTTCAATGAAGAGTGAATAGGCTGTCACTGAGCAATTGCTCACTTGCTTTTACCATCTAAGATAGTGGTCATTGCATTGCTGTTTTTGTCTCCAGATTTTTCTTTATTGCATGCGAGATCCAGAAGAAACACATAAGACGTACACAAGTCATACTCAGGGTTACTAAGTGTTATTCAAAGCGCTAAATCACATTTGAGCCATTTCTCAAATCAATAAGATTTTGAAATAGTAACAAAAAAATATATATTTCGAAGATATGTGGGGTCGCGTGGTGGACTCTGTACTGAAAAGGCCTTTTCCGTATATTTGAGATGTACAAGCTGATATTTTATTAATTTTTTTACTTGAAGTTACACGACATTTATTACAGTAATGTTTATTAGTAACTTTGATACGATAGGGATAAGATAGAATTAAATATGAGTTTGGTATTTATTCACTAATCAAATCACACTTAAAGCTAAAATCATAATATTAATAAACCTAAACGGCTATTTTCACAGGCGATATCGGAGGAAGTAACAGAAGGTCTTTGCGCTGTGGTAGCTTGTGGTCGTCGTGTTTTTGTTCTACGCTTCGATGCATCCTGCACAGAATTCAAAATTGCTCGCTCACTCACAATTGACAGACCACCAAGTTCGTTGCTGCTCACGTCTAAATGTCTGTTCCTCGCCGGAGAGAAACCACTCAAAGTCAACCTACCTTCTGGCGCCTTGGAAACCTTTGCAGTGGACGAACCGACAGTGGCCGCTGCCATAAAAAGTCACTCTCCCCCTAAAGCAATAGTCCTAGTCAAAAACAAGCCATTCGAGCTACTTATTTGCTTCGCGGAATGTGGCGTGTTCGTGGACGAAAACGGCAGGCGCACGCGTAATGAAGACCCTAAATGGAGTTCGGCAGTGCACAGCTGGGAGTTTGTGGCTCCATTCCTGTACGCTGTAGGCACCGAAAGAGTTACCATAATTTACCTTAACGAGGAAGCGTATAGAGCTCCACCGTGCACGTGCGAGACTTCATCCATTGCCTCGTCGGCTTCGGAGTGTTACATGCCCGAGGTGTTCAACTACAAAGTGAAAGAACCAGCTATACTCGGCACAGCAACCAATGGGATAATAATAAGGTCTAAGAGTGAAGATGGCTACACAATTTCAATAGTCGACGGTCTGGGAGCCTTTCGCAGCATCGGCGCTTCGGTTGAATCGCTAGAAACCACTTCTGAATCGAAAGGCTCCTCCACCGATCTGACTGTATCATGTACCGACCTTTCCCAACACGAGAATTCGAATGAAAGCGTGGAGGTGAACACTGGATTTCTAGCTGACATAAGAAAAAGAGCAAAACAGCTTCGCAATGCCAATCGTAAAAGCAAAACCTCCGATGATGTAATCAAGGAGATTCTCACCACTGAAGTGGGATTGAAGCGGTCTTCTAACGGGAGAAAGTCACCACCTGCGACTTCAGAGTTCGATTCGGATTCAGAATCGGACGCGGAAGGCACTAGCTCCACAAAGGGGACGGCCGATTTATGTGCGGAAATGTTTGCGAGACAAGTTCGGTTCAAATAGAATACGTAAAATTAGCATAAGCTTTGTGAGATATTAACCATGTACACATGTTATTGCTTAAACACATATCCATTTACAGGTAACCCAAACTAATATGGTAGGACTAGGAATGTATAGTTACATAATTTTCATTAGTTTGCTATTGAAGCTTCAAAGTAAAAAATTATAAATGAACTGTAAATAAAGTTCATTTTTATTTAATTTGTTAGTAATCAGTGGTAGTTTTCAAAGCTATAATTTTGTTATTTGAATATTTTTTGATAGTATTGTCTGAGCATTGCTCAAGCATTGGTATTTATTTATTTTTTATTATAAGTGCCTTATTCATTTTAATATATTTGGTAAACTGAGAATTTAAAGAACCACAATTTTTTAAAATTAATTACAATTACACTTTCATTCAAACCAGTTCTTGAATTTCTAATTTAGATACCTTGTTAAGATTTATTTGTATAATGATTAAGGTCCTTGCTTTTATCAAAGAAATTTGACACTAAGTTTAATTTACTGTGATTTGATACAACATGTATGTTTACATACTTTTAGACTAATCTAGTATAATATTTAAATGTAATTTATTTGTAACTGATTGAAAGCATTGATTATATTTTTAACATTGAAAGTGCCTTTCTTTTGTTTTTTTATAAATATTTCCACAATTTATTCACCAACCAAAATAAACATTTTGATTTGCCTAACAAACAGCACAACTTTACTTTATGAATGCTAAATTTAAGTAATTTATTAAAAGATTACTGAATAATAAAAGTCATTAAACATAGGTAGTGTCTTTTGTTACAATACAGCCTTTAAATGCAATCACACCTCAATATTTTACAAAGGATATAAATATAATAAAACTAAGAGATTCTTGGAATCTTTTATTTACAATCTTATACATTTTAAATTACATAATGTGAAGTGCGGTTGTAGAGGAGCCAAATTTCCGTTATTCAGTTGATCCTTCATGAGTCCGCATCTCTTACAGAGACAATGGATCTCTTTAGTAAACTAAACCGATACGTATATACCTCAAACTTCAATAACGGGATGTACTTAAAAAGTGTACTACATAAATCTGATAGACAGAGATCTCTTTTATTCACAAATATAATGTACAACACAAACAATTATACAGCGCGTTAACTCCGACATCCTATGCCTAGTGAATTACATCTTAAACTCAGTCAAGAAAGTATCGTATAATACAAGGACCATATTCTCGGATAATTAATTTTAATTACATACACTGGGATTTTATTTCGTTAAACACTATAAATTGAAACTTATCCCGCGACTCACATGCCATTGTCACACCATTAAATTAAAATTTTATACATAAAAACGCTAGAAATTCATATGATCATATCAGAGGCAGTTCGGATATTTTCGTGACGTATCTTCCTGTATGATACCGTCCTTAACAATTTCATTAACTGGAAGAGCACGTTATTGTCTAGACACCAGGCCGCCTAAACAGCATTGTTAAATCTCGGTAAATAAATAATTTATTCCTCACACATTTTAATCATAATGAAACACATACAAACATTTATCGCAAGTGCACATTGAATCTGAATACTCTTCCAATTTCAATAATATTTAAGTAATCAAAACTCCACACATGGTTACTTGTAAATACATAACTTATAAGCGCCGCCTACCCTTGGGGAAGAATACGCCTTTGAGATTATCATTCATTTTCTAATCAAACATGACAAGGGCTGTACAATTTAAAGTCAGATGATTCAATAACATCGTAAAGGCAACTGTTACATTATATTAATATTTAGGAAATATTACTGAGATTTATTAAATTAACAATTACATTAATTCAGCCTTCAGTTTGTGAACTTAAGATTTTCGATGTTAATAGTTAAATTCGCAGTAAGACGCTGTATTTAAGCATTGAACTAAATTTTCAGTAGATTATGAAGTAACAACCCTATATCAATTTTCAGTATAATTTAACATTACATTAGTATATTCTATAACTGAATTTGTAAACCACATTTTACCGGAGTTCGTCTGTACTTGGTTTGAGTAAGGAAATTAAATTTTTCTCCAACACCATTTGCATATTTACATCAATAATATGTTTAGCTTGAAATAAATCCATCCAGTGCAGTTCTTAACCTTGCTTGGTTTAGTTAATATGATCTTTTATACAGCCTTAAATTTTGATAACTAAGTTGGAAACAGCAAATAATCAAGTTTCTTTTAGTCTCATTTGAGGAATTAACTAAAGCCGAGTCCATCTGATTTCATCTCGATGGGACCGAACTTAATTCACGTACAAATCCATTATCTATATCATCATTTCACAGTTGGTAGTTCAGTTGAGGAATCCTCTACATTGCGGGGCGCCGCAGAGGCAAGGTATCTTCTCGTCTTCTAGAGGGAACTTGTAGTCGTAAGTGATCTCCTCGTCCACGCCGATCGGCTGCTTCGAGTATATCACGATCTTCTTCTGTGACTCGATTGTAATAATCTTCGCATAGCAGTTTGGCTGGAACAAATGCTTATCATTACTAACAGCATACGCTCAATGTCACTGAACGTTAAATAATCGACACATATATATTTTTCTTCCAGCTTTATTTGTATATAGAAAGTAGAGAATAACAGTCATGTACGGCTAGGCTATCGTACGCAGATTTTTTTTACTTTTCTGTGAATGGTTTAAGTGATATATAATCTATATACATATAATTCTTCTTCTGTACGTGTGTATATCACTAAACTCCTCCAAAACGTCAAATTTTAACGAATTTTTTTTGTCTTCAAGTCGATTCTAAAATGTTTTAGATTCACAATTCGGGACACTACAAGTTTTTTTAATTTTTTTTTTATTTATAAGTTGGCAGATTTATGTCGTGTATACAGGACAACGTCTGTTGGGTCCGCTAGTATAAATGTAAATTTATGTGCAAAAACGCACACCATGATACAGATTTATGAATAAAATAGCTTCGCTGAAATATGATTACTAATCAACCGGAAAAAAACGCCTTAACTTCGTTCATCGCTCGTATTGCTTAAAGAAACACTGCGGTCCGTGGGTTCAAATCTCGCTACATCGCCGCTTCATCATAACGAATCAATACCGAGTGGCGTTTTTGCGTAATATGAATAGTGTAGGCGGTTACGTTGCAGCTGTGGTTGATGAAGCGCGCCAGGTTGCCGCACTTGGTGGCGTCGATGATGGTGTCCAGGTCGATGCGGAACAGGTACGAGCTGCCGATGCCCGTCGCCTCGTAGTGCGCCTCGCGCACGTCCGCCACGATGGGCCGGATCATCTGGCCCACGTACTCTATCACCATCTCGTCCGCGGCGATTGGCTCCTGTTACATAGAAAAGCAATCATAAAAAAAATATTACACAGCAAACTTTTTTTACGAGCTGGCGGTTCACCGGATGTTAAGTGATAACCGCTGCCTATGGACATTTGCAACACCCGTAGGGTTGCAAATGCGTTGCCACCTTAACTAAAGTGGGCCCCAGCTACGTCACTCATCAGATGAAACGCAGAAGTGTAACACTAATACATTACGCCGGTCTTCTGTGAGGTCATGGTATTTACCCTGATGTACCACAGTTTACTATAAAAGTTAAAGCATTGTAACAGCATATATATAGAGTAAGTTAAATAACAGCGTACAGAAACGTTTTTCTATGATGTGAACAAAACTAACAAAAAAAAGTGTGTGTATACTTATGTACGCACGTAAGAAGTTATCCTACTTTGGCGTAACAAATGATAAAAATTACCTATACTTATTTATACATATACAGCGTGTCGTTACCATCGCGACAATAAATGAACACACGTCTAACGCTACTTGCCAATAATCATAAAAAAAATATTAACGTTAAACAAAATCCATAATTAAAAAAAAATATTTTTCAAACAAACTAATTAAGTAAAAAAGAAACAAAATTTGTAACATCCTATACAACTCGCGCCACAGCGTCGCATTACAAGCGACCTTCTAACAGTATGTTTTGTCTCTTTTAAATTCATTCAACCCATTCAGATGCTTTGTGACCTTTACAAATGAACTTAACGTTACAGTTTTATACGTAAGGGTGTTCTAAAATTCTTTGTTTTGGAAAATTAAATAACTCTGTAAATATTGATGTTTAAAGATTGTAAATGTTTAATACAATTTTAAAAATTTATCCCCTATATGTGTGTTCATTTATTGTCGCGATTGTAAAGACACGCTGTATAAGTAGTATCGAGAAAAATTCTCACCTGAGCGAAAAGACCCCAGTCGTGGATTCCGGACTTGGCGAATTTCAGCTGCTTCTTTCTGAACTTCAGTTGGTTGAATTTCAGCAGATCGGAATCCGTGTCGGTGCCTGTCAATATTGAATAGTCATACTTAGTACTTCATATGAAGTCACAAGCAACAATATATATGCGAATTTGCGTGTTAAATTTATATCGCAATCTCAAATCATCAAATCCAAACGAATTTAAATAAATTAGGAAATAGTAAAAACACTTTACAAAAAACTTTAAAACATTGGAATATTTTTATTGACATGGAAACTTGTTTTTTATCTAACAAAATGCAAATGCTAGTATTTAAACATTTTTTTACATACATTAAATAACAACTTGTATGTTTTACTCTCATTCCTTCTTATAACCGGCTCATTCCTTCTTAAATGAACCAGTTATATGAAGCGAGTTGGAATGGAGTTAGATTGCCTAATATCTTGGAACATTGATACTACCGGTAGGGGGAAGAACCTTAAACGACGGTTGCGCTTGTATACAGACTAGTGTTGCACGCTTATAAGGTAAGTGCTTCTGTTATATTGATTTGTCGGTAGTTAGTATAAAACAATACTAAATGACAAACAGGCCGTAATACCGCACCCGCTCTCACCAATCTGGTTCTAACGCGCACTGCCGTTCGGAAACGTGTGGCACCGTTGTCGGTACCAGAATGCAACATACTGGATGGCGACCCTGTTCGAACCAAATCCGGCGCCAGTGAGTATGACTTGTCGCGGCGCGTGCTATCGTTCGGGAACGTGTGGCGCCGTTTATGGTACGGGAATGAATCGTAGTCCGTACCCGATGGCGGTCTTAGTCCGACGCCAATGGGTAAATACGAGTACGTACCGAAAGCGGTGAGCAGCCGCCGCTGGTTGGAGCGCGCCTCCCGCGACAGCTGCATCTTGCTGGCCTTCTTGTCGTCCGCCGCCGCGCCCCGCCCGTGGTGGTACTTGTACTTGGCCTTCAGCCGCGCGTCCATCTTGTAGTAGCCCTCCGTTCGAGCGGCGCCGCTCGAGTGGCCCTAAATACGTTAATCATTGTTATGACCTTAATGATTATAATTTATTATAAAGTGGAATTATTAAACATACACCTAAATAATGTTTTCATTTGATTTAATTTGCGTATTATTAAATAATAAGGATAAGCATCCACAACGGCACTTGCAAAACGTAGCGTAGGATGAATATGAATAAGGTCTAAATTATCAATCGAATCAAAACAAAAATTGAGCATCCAGTAAATATTCGCAAATCTTATGTATCCACAACTGAATAACGTCATATACAATTGTAAACCCAAGTACGAAGGCAATACAGAGTGCTAGGGAGAAAACTACTATAAAAGATACTTTTATAATCTCGCGAGCTTGTTATGGCTCCGTTGAGTAGAGGCCCAGAGGTCGCGGCACTTTGGCGGCAAATGGTGACTCGGCCGAGATGTTTATCTGAGTAGTATAGAGCTGTCATCCTTGAAAAGCGCCTGATTGACTTGTGGATGTCTGGGCACCTCGCTCGAGTAGAGCGAAAAGAGCAAAGGGGAGAGGCAGGGACCTTGAGAAACTCCCACCGTGTTCGTAGAGAAAGTGCACTCTGCCCAACGACGAAAAGAGCGATTCGACAGTAAGGTTCGAATGGTGCTCGAGTTTAAGTGGCACTGTTGCTCGCGAGAGTGTCGTATAGTCGTGGACGTCGGTAGGGAGAGGCGTAGCAGCGGGTGCGTCACCTGCAGCTCCTCGTAGATGTTGGCGTGGCGCTTGGAGCGCTTGCGCGGCGGGCTGTAGGTGAGGTCGGTGGGCGGGTGCTCCACCCAGTGCGTGTCGTTGAGCCAGTAGCCGTGCGCGTCCTCCGCCAGCAGCGCCTCGTACGCGCGCCGCAGCAGGCGCACGTCCTCGCGGTCGATGCCGCGCGTCAGGAACTCGTACATCACCTGCGTTCACATTCGGATTTCGAATATGGGCATGATATGCAGCATGTGCACGTGTCGTACATCACCTGGGTTCGTGTTCGTTACAAATGTGGGCATATGCAGCGTATGCATGTGTCGATGCGACAGTACGAAGCGTATGGCTCCAAGGTATTATACTAGAGAATGATGTATTTTTACGGTGAGGTTGTAAGCGAACTGGAAGTTCAGCTGATGTTAAGTGATAACCCCCGCCAATGGACGTTTAGCGTTGCAGATACGTTGGCATCTTTTAATGAAGTGGGCTCCGGCTACCTCACTCACCAAACGTCCACCCGGACGAACCTGCCCATTCGTGCAACAACAGCGAAGACTGTTGCGTGGCCTTCCCCAAGTATGCATTTGAATTGACAAGAAACCACTATATAACTAGTACTACAACTAATAACTTTACACTCTGAAAATGTTAAAAAAATCAACATGGAGTTTTATACTTAAGAGGATTTAAAAATGTAGTTTATGTTGCTGCATCCCTCGATCGCATGTCATCTTGATATTCCTTCAACGGTGAACAGAGCGAGTAATTGCAGATAATTGTTCTAGATCTGGATCTTCGTTCTCAAGGAGGGTTGATGTCAGACAGGCCAGTTGTATAACACTTACGAGTTTTAGTACCTCTCCAGTCGAGCTAGCGTGTTGAGGCAGCAGCAAGAGCTTTCGCCTAGCTCTATTAAAGGTTTTAAATTTGATTCTACCTCAGTGCATAAGGCTCGCGGCATTATTTTTAAATTTCATTTGAAAGTCGACCAGTAACGCAAAAATAAGCTATCGTGCGGTTTACTAATTCATTGTCTATTACGAGCTGGTGTTTGTTTGCACGGTTAGTCGTACCTGCATCTCGGCCATCATATCCCTTGCCGGGAAGGTCACGTGGCCGTGCACCGGGCTCGCCGCTTCCGCATCCGAGAGCGTCTCGTGCAACCTGCGCCCAAAACGATTATCAGGGTAAATACGATTGCTTCGAGATTACATAGGTAAGACGGTTGAAATACTCCAACTTGGCGAATTGAAGGTATACTTGTTTTGACGCTTTAGGGATTAGAGAACGTGAGAGTGATTTTTTACGATGTGCGCGCAGCGACTTGAAAAAACATTATTGATGTTTGGGATATGTGGGACTCCCATGACTATTGGCAGATTCTTAATAAAGGCCATTTATCAAAGAAGTATAACATTTCTCATTAATCATGTTTGACACATTAGAAAAGGAAGGTTTATCGCCTGGTAACACAAGATTTAACATTCTTGACATGCACATTGTAGGCTTTTGCGTATGAAATATTGTGCATATACTATATTACTAACTTTTGGTGACACAAATTTTCTGCAGAACTTTTATGAAAAAATTCGTAGCGTGTGAATTGTACTTTTAGCACCAAAACATTCGCGTGGTTTTTGTACTTTTTTAATTAATGAAGTCAAAACAACATTTCGGACTTTTGTATTGTTTTTTAAATAACAGAAGTCCTAAAGAACAACATTTCGGCTCATAAATCGAACAAAAGTTTTAGGGCCGATTGAAATTTATAAATTGATCCTATAATTTCGATAATACGACGTAAGGTTTCAAGGGTGAGATTCTAACTCACGTTAAACTCAAACTAAATTAAAACAAATGTTGGTTGCAATTGTGTACACAGTTGAACAAAAGTACAGTAAAAACGTTTATTGTGCAAGTTGAAAATTTATTTCTGGGATTTGATGGACTATATGTAACATATTCAAAACTAGTAAATATTTTAACAAGTAGAAAAACGCACTTGTTTTGAATCTCCGCCAACTTCTTGGTTTCGTGTTTTCTCTTGTACGGCCTCTTCGTTTCCTTCTTGGGCTTGAGTTCTTCCAATTGCGACCCGATTTCCGGTTCTGCCATCCACGTGTACCCTGACAAGTTTGTATCATTAACTTATAAATAGAACGTTGCATGTCAATGACAACATATTAATTACTTCACTCTAAAACAGGCACGAATTTGCCTTAGCAGGATTTTCTATTACCACACATGAGGAAATTAATTAGTATTTTAATAGGAGCCTGGAGTCAGGAGCCGATGTTTGCAATTAGGGTAAAGACTTGTCAGCAGAGAAAAATGATGTCAACACTTAGCCGGCAAACCGAGACTGTAAAAGAGCAGATTTAGAATTGTCCTAAAAACTGGTAGTTGTTAGTGCAACCGAGTGCGTGAGTGATGGGGTTGCCTCCTAGGCAGTGCGTGAAAGCTTTGCGAGATAGAGTTGTCACCCTTACTGTTCAAAAAAGTATAGCGAGAGATAGGATTGCCTCCCTAGCAGTTGTGAAAGTATTTCGAGAGATAGGGTTGTCTCTCTGACAGAGCTTGAAAGTATTGCGAGAGATATGTTTGCTTCCTTTAAAGCGCGTGAAAGTATAGCGAGAGAAACGGTTGCCTCCCTGGCAGCCGTGAAAGTATTGCGAAAGACAGGGTTGTCTCTCTGACAGTGCTTGAAAATATTGCGAGATATAGGGTTGCCGCCCTGACAGTGCGTGAAAGTGTCGCGAGATGGGGCTGTCTCGTTGACAGTGCGTGTCGCGAGGGTGAGGGTTGTCGGCCGGAGGGCAATGGCAAGCGCAGGGTTGTCACCGTGGTCGTGGTGCAGGTGGTTGGAGGCGCGGCGCTCGGGCGGCGCGTCGTCGGCGGGCGGCGGGCGGCAGTACGAGTGGTCCAGCGCCACCTGCGAGGCCTGCGACGCCTGCGAGGCCTGCGACTGCGGCGACGACGTCTCCGACAGGGCGCCGCTCGGCTGCGGGGACGGACACATTGTGACAGCTCGGTGTTTCACAACCATCGTGGATATTTATTTAGTCTTTATTGCATTTCCTTGAATACGGAACACAAGAGGCGGACTTAACGCCTTCAGGCATTCTCTGCCAGTCAACTATAGTGTGGTGAGATCTTTAGGCAGGTGCAATATATGAAACGCTAACACATATTATGTCCGGTCCGATTTATTTGACATTGCACCCGATGTTTTTATAATAAAGTCGACGCATGTCCATAGAAGCGCGGCGTTTAAAAATTATTGCGCCTTACATTAGACGACAGACATACTTATTTGAATGTGACAGATTATACACAACTTATAATACGGAAAGAGATAGCAGTCTATAGAATTGTAATCTAATTACACAACAATCGGTGTAATTTGAGTGCCTCAATTTCGGTGCGGTAGCGTCATGTATACCTCCTAATTGTATATAACGTCATTGATTGCACCTATGTTAAGGGCAAATGACGTTTCAATAATGCAATGAGTATGACTTTACACTTGCGGATTTATAAGTTTTTTTTTATAAGCGGTTCACCTGATGTTAATTCCAACGCCCATGGATGTCTACAACAACCGAGAGCTAGCTGATCCATTGACGACCTTTACAACAAGTGGGTCCCGGTTAACCCTAACAGCTAAAGCGAAAATAGAATACTTCTACTTCTAACCGGTTTCTGTAAGATCGTGGACTTTACCGGACGAGCCTACCCGTTCATGCAACAGCCGAACATGTTGCGTGGGCCTTCCAGTGATGGTGAAATATTATTCGTACAAGCTGTGAATAAATTGTTAACCTGAAAATGCATATTTCCGCAAAAGCTATTCGTGTATTTTTTGGATCAAAATATTTAGATAATAAAAAAAACAATATTTACAAATTATCATACTAACTAACCAAACAAATGACACATCAAGTTTTTCACATGACGTCTTGTCAATTTTTTCACGACTTGTACAGGTTGAGTAATTTAAAATAGTACTAACTTCTTTGACACCATTGACTCCGTTAGCCGATTCAGTGTAACTGTGCTCATCGCTAACTGATATAACCCTCTGTCTTTTTTCTCCTTTCTTCTTCTGTCTCTTGTCTTTCTTTCTCCGAGAGTCCAGAGGTTCCTCTTCGGAAGTGATTTCACCTTCCTCCACGTCCTCGGCCTTTTTGCTCTTCTCGGGTGATTTCAGGTGATTCTTTATCGAATTGCTTACGTCTTCAGATTTGCTATCTGGCAAACTGAAAAGAAAGATGTTTTAATAAAGCCCCTCGGTTAAAGGTAAGACATTTTTGCCGTCCCTGAGAAACAAACACAGAGTCAACCTTTTCCTCCTCAGGTAACGATAGTGGATATGCGGTGACCACACTACCACACGATAAGCCAAAATCTGTAGTATTTATATACGTGCTTCACGCCGCTCCGCATCTGATGCAGTAAATCTTCACTGCATGAGTGTGGTTTTAAAAGCCACACCACAACAGAAATTATTGTAGAATATGACAGTTAATTGAATGAAATTAAATTAGAATTGTTATATTCTTCATCGTGGATTTAATAAGCAGTTGTATCAATGTTTAAATAATATAATTTAAACATCGAGCATAACTCGATCAGTACAATAAATACATAAGTAAAATATAGTACCCGTCATCAGGCGGTTTGTCGAGTGCTCTCGTATCTCCTTCCAATTTTCTCCTTTGCTCTTCCAGGAATTCTCTCTCGATCTGCTCCATATACTCTGTGTTCCTTCTTCTTCTTTCCTAAAATTATATACGGTATATTTGAAATAATCATTTTATGATCCAGTTTATAATACGTCTTAAAATTGTACATACATTATAACTGATAATTAATTTAAATACATAAACTCTATTTTTTTGGGGTTTCAAAGATTTTTTTGGATCATCTGTTCTGCAATATTTTAGTTAGAGGCTTTTATACCTAGCTTAATTATTTTTGACAAGAAATTAGCAACATCTTTGAGCTTGTAAAACATCAAAAACACAGATAATATCAGCTCTCTCCATCCAGAATGTTATTATTTCAATTCCAATTGTTGACTCATAAAAAGGTGAACATTTACCTGATACTCCCTCTCTTCCTCCGAGTCGGAGTAAACACGGTCTAGGAGGAGATCCCTCGGTTCCTCTGGCGACATGATCGGCGAGCCCAGCCTCTCGGCTTCGTGGTTTGTAGTTTCCTCTCCCGCCTCGTCCATTTCAACGGGCGGTATAGGCGTTTTCTCTGCGAGACAAACAAGAAGTTTTACAAAAAAAATATTTAAACCATTCTCATAATCACACCCGTGACAGACAATTATTTTTTGCGTGTGGGAAATGCAAACCGCGAATGGTCGCTTGCGATCTTTCACAAGTACAAGGGTTCAGCTATTTCATAATTAGAAGATACTATTTTGAAATAAAAAGCTCTTACCCCTTCGACTTTTCTCTTCCTCACTGTCAGATGACGAAGAGTAGACCGTCCGGAGTCTCTCCTTATTAGATACAACTTTAAACTGAAATAAAATATAATATTTTACAATATAATATAATAACAATACATTAGATTAATAATCACTCTTAAAGTTTAAATTATAATGGCAAAACTTATCCATAATATAACATTTAACACATTTTAGTATATATTTTGACCATGGTTTATGAAATACTAGCCACCAATTGGTTTCAGACGGTTTACAAACATTCAGTCATTAATATTTTACATTTAATATTATCCCAACGCTAAGTTTTTGTATGACGTTAAATAAATAGATTCTATGAAATAAAATAAAGAATCATATTCACTTTCAGCCGTCTCAGATAATATAATTACGTGTATACGATCTCAGATAATATAATGGTATATAAAACTTGGCTTAAGATTACGCTCAAAGAAGTATTCCCCATTAATTATAATTTTGCTTGAGACAAAAGTTTATCTTGATTCAATTATATATACTAGAATCGACCGAAGAACCTAGTTCCATGCATTTATGACATTTATAAATAATTATTATACCATTAGGAGAGGAATCATCTGGGAAGTGTCAAATCCACACAGAAGGGCGTTAAGAAGGATAATTTTTACTCTTAAGTTACGTTTGGCGAGAGAGGTAGCCGAGAAGCCTCTCAAGAGTTTTGATCGCCGAAAGAAAGAAAGAGAGAGGAGGAAGGAAGGAAGGAAGGAAGGAAGGAAGGAAGGAAGGAAGGAAGGAAGGAAGGAAGGAGGGAAGGAAGGAAGGAAGGAAGGAAGGAAGGAAGGAAGGAAGGAAGGAAGGAAGGAAGGGAGGGAGGGAGGGAGGGAGGGAGGAAGGAAGGAAGGAAGGAAGGAAGGAAGGAAGGAAGGAAGGAAGGAAGGAAGGAAGGAAGGAAGGAAGGAAGGAAGGAAGGAAGGAAGGAAGGAAGGAAGGAAGGAAGGAAGGAAGGAAGGAAGGAAGGGAGCGAAGCAGGGTGAAAGGAAGGAAGGAAGGAAGGAAGGAAGGAAGGAAGGAAAGAAAGAACGAAATAAAGAAAGAACTATAAATAAAGAGAAGAAGGGCGCACCTCCGCCTCGTCGAGGTCTGTGTCGTCGTCGGAGTCCGAGTAGATGCGCGGCGCGGCGCCCTTGCGCTCCGACTCGGAGCCCGACCACGACGAGCGTGACGACGACGACGACGACGACCTGGCGGCGACACCTTTTTGTTATTATATCTATCTAGAGTAACACTGCTGGGCAAAGGCCTCCTCTGTATAGAGGGTATTAGGTGTCCACCATGTAACCCCACTGCGGATTGGCAGACTTTATATAGCTTTGAAATTCTTTTTTTGTATAATTTCGATATAAGCAAGTTTCCTCGCGATGTTGTTGTCGATGATGTTGTTCTGTGCGATGGTGTAACGCCGAGCATGATAAGAGAAAACCTAAAATTACAATTAACAATTTCAATGGTGCCGACACCGAGATTTGAACTCGTGTTGCTCGTGTTAATAAAAAGCGATCACTCGGACACTGAGCTATCACGGCTCCATTTCTATCTAATCATCACAAAATCTAAAACTAAGTCAGCACTTACAAGTTAAAAACTTCATTGGTGCCGGCACTGGGGACCGAACTCAGGTTGCTCGAGTATATTGAATTAAAGGCGAGCGCCCGGACACTGAGCTATCACGGCTCTTGTTAATAAATATCTATGTTAATAAATTTTAATAAATATATATATTTATATAATTCTTCTGTAAGTGTATATGTCACTTAACTCCTCCTAAACGACTGGACCGATTTTAATGAATTTTTTTGTTTGTCTTCAAGTCGATTCGAAAATGGTTTAGGTACGGTACAACTTTTTTAATTTTTTTATAAGCTGTCGGATTTTAGTCGTGTGAACAGGACAAAGCCTCTATATTATAGATATATAAACACCCGGACACTGGAAAAACTGGTCAAAGTCACTCCTTTGTGTCAAAGTGCCTATTAAAACTTTATACAGATATAAAATAAAATGTTGGCACACATCCAAACATACAGGAAACCTATTAAATGCGCGTCTGAAATTCGTCCGTCCGTCGCTGTTAAGTGCATTTACAGCTATCGGAATAATGCCATATGTTTTGTGCGTTTTTATTATGTGCATGTGTATTGTTCTTTTATATTATTTTTTTAAATGCTCTGTACCTCAAATCGCGCTTTGTAGTCGGCCACCTTTTTTGATGGTTCAGAAATGTTACTTTTTTACGAACTCATCGAAACGTTTCTTACATATCTATAATGTTAACTAAAAATTGTGAAAACCTCGATGAACTGCTGGACTGGCGCCTTCTGCTCGTCGAAAGGTACGAACCCGTGGTCCGGTTGCGAGGACTCGTGGGTACCTCCTTCTCTTCGTCCGAGTTCTGCACCATTTCCTCCTGCGTCACAAATTATATGTCATCAATATGTGAAAGAAAGAAATTAACACGAGTTCTTATTTGAAATTTTAAAGACACTATAAATTGTGTATAAGAATGACTAATATTTTATTAGATAGCATCATTGTTGTACTTAAAAAAATGGAACAGGATTTTTAGAGTAATTTGACTATGACCCCCTCATAGTCAAATTACTCTAAAAACCTTGGCCTAAATAGTTCACTGCCTTAGATCATTATCACATTACACTAGGTATTCTAAACAAAAGAGGCAAAGGTGAAGTGATATGAAGGTGGTCTGGGTGTGAACCTGATCGCTGAGCCGCTTGGAGGAGTCCTCGTCCATGAGCACGGGCGAGGGGATCTTCCTCTTGCGGCGGAAGCTGGGCATCTTGGGGATGGAGGCGCGCAGGCCCAGGCCGATGCCGGCGCCGTAGCCGCCCAGCTCCAGGCCCAGCTCGCGCGACTCCATTATCGACTTTATCGAGTCCACGGCCTCCTCCTTCTTGTTCGAGATGTCCTGCGGGCGATGCATTTTACTTTATTCAAAAATTATATTTTATCTGATTTTCTAATTCAAACTACTTTTTTATTATTACATTTTCATGGATCGATGGCGTAGTTGCTTTTGGCGCCGCTGGGACGTCTTGGGTTCGATTCCCACACGGGACATGTATTTGTGTGACCCATAGATAATACCCATAGATAATCGGATCTGGATGTTTGTTCCAATGAGGATTGTCGTTATACAGGCGACCGGTTGTGGCATACGTAGCCCTTAATAACATAATTCACATGTTGTGGCAACCCCGCGTAGGTGGGATAAGGTTAGGAAAAAGAAGAAAATTGTTTCAAAATACACCTGGACAAAAAGCATTAGACAACCGTTTTTAAGAATGGTTTCATCTCACTATATATCGCAGGAATGTTAACCTACATCAACTTTTGTTTTGGTAAGAGTACGGGATGTGCTGGAGGATGAGAAAGAAAAGGTGAAATGTTTATTTCATAAACCTGTAACGGCTGCCCCGCTTCTTCCGGTTTGGTGGTCTTCGGTTGCCTTATCTTGCGGCTCTGCTCATCCCACCACAGTTCGAAGCTCTTGAAGGCGGTGCTCTCTATCATCTTCTTGTTGAAGTCTTTCTTCAGGATCTGCTTCAGCTCGGCCGTTACTCGCTCTATTACGCTTGTTATAGTCGTGTAGTGCGGGTTGTCCGATTCCTAAAATTATATAATATATAACATTTATAGGACATAAGTGAAAACGAACAGGATTAAAAATATTTATGTCTTGTTGATACCAGTATTGTTTTCTTTTGTTTTAAACCGGTTTTCTGTGAGACCGTAGTACTTCGCCGAAGAGCCTAACCATATGTTCATCAGCAGTTTTTTTTCTCGTTGCTATTTCCAGAAGTTGATTAAGCGACAGAGTTTATGGAATCATCTGGATGGACTCTAGCACTGTGGCCAATTTATTGGCTTCGGCGCCGTGTATCGTGGGTTCGATTCCCACACAACACAACTATTCGTGTGATGCGCAGATAATTGTTTTGGATCTGGGTGTATATCCATGTAAACTTTATGTAGGATAATGTTATTTTATTTTATTTTACAATTTTAGGGAAACTAACAGCTAGCACATAATTTAAGAATTGGATTATAAGTAACGAAGGCCAATTATAAGTTTCCACAATTAATTAAATATAAAAGAATATAAAGCGTACATAGAAGTATAACGGACATAGAGTATACAGTGACAATTATTGATAAAATTTACAAAATTTATAAAAAAATATATTTACCTAATCGTATTTTTTCTTTTTAATAGGGCGTTGCTAAGCAGTTTTTTAATCTGATAGACAGAGGTATTATAAAAATCAACGTCGTGTTGCTTAGCTACCGCGTTAAAACATCTGCTTGCTCGAATAAAGAAGGAATTCTCCCCGTAATTCGTTCTAGCTGACGATACGTGTAAGACTGCAGGTTTGCGATATGCGGCGGTTGGAACTCTTAAACTTATGTTATCTAATAACTCTGGACAATCGACCGAGCCATTTAATATATTAGTAAATAAGCAATATCGTAAATAATAAACATAGATGCTATAATTTGGACTCCAAATTTGAGAAGCATATTCCAGATGACTGCGCACATAGGCGCAGTATAGGATTTCAAATGTTTTTCTGGAGTTAAAGTCACTTGATATGCGCATTACAAACCCTAATGCTTTTGATGCTTTATTGATTATATTATTAATATGTTCATCAAAACGTAATTTGGTGTCGAAAGTTACTCCTAGATCTTTAATGGAATTTACTCTGGTCAGTTTAATGTCACATAATTTGTACCGAAAAATGGATTGGGTTTACTTTACGTGTGAAAGAACAGATGTAACATTTTGAGATATTGAGATCAAGCTTATTTTTTTCGCAATATATTTCAAATCGGGTGAGGTCCTCTTGAAGAAAAATTGCGTCCTCATAGCATTTTATCTGTTTGAGGATTTTTATGTCATCTACATATAAAACTATTTTAGAGTGATAGAAACAGGTTAAGATGTCGTTAATAAAAATATTAAAAAGCAAAGACCCTAACAAGGATCCTTGCGGGACACCAGATGGAATCTTTAATGTTGCTGAAGTATAACCGTTTAGTACAACGGTTTGACACCTATTTTGGACGTAAGAAGAAAACCATCAAGATATAAATATATAAGTTTCCTCTTATACCAATAAATTGAAGCTTACGCAAAAGTATCAAATGATCGATTCTATCAAAACATTTTCTGTAGTCAGTGTAAACTACATCGACTTGTGATGGCAGATCCATATGCTTTGAGATGTAGTCGCTTCTAACAATAAGGTTAGATGTAGTAGATCTACCTTTTAGAAAACCATGTTGCTCCATAATAAGTGCGTGCTTCAGGGTTTCATATAATTACTTGTAGACAACTCTTTCAAAATTTTTTGCAAACAGACAGCTTGGAGATAGGCCTTTAATTATCGACCATATCTTTCGGTGCTTGTTTATGAATTGGTGTGATGTACGCCGACGTCCAAATAGTGGGAACGACACCTTCGGTCAGAAAACGTATATATAGGTAAGTCAGAGGGGTTGTCAGACTATTTGCAAACAGGGTGATAAAAAGAGCTGGAATGTTGTCAGGACAAGCAGACTTATTTAAATCAAGCCCTTCCAACATTTTGCGTATTTCGGACTTATTTATTTCGATATCACCTGTATCGTAACTGAGGTAAAAGTTTCTTTAATATTACAGCTATTGCTGCACGTGTTGTGAGTGAAAGTTGAATGAAAATACTCACTGAATAATTTGCATATGTCATCTCCAGAACTAGAAACCCGCTCTCCGTAACGTAGTTCAGCAGGGTATGACTTGTCAGTATTCTTTGTTCGTATGTATGACCAAAATGCTTTAGGATTATTTTTTATATTTTTCTCTATATTAGGGATGTACTCCTTAAAATAATCTCTTTCTAAATTTGGCCCGGTCCCTTAATGTACAAAATGATTGCAAGTCAGAACGATTGCCGCAAGCCTTGTATTTCAAGTGAAATTTATGTTTTTCCTTCAAAATTTATTACAGGTCTTTATAACCATGGAGGGTATTTCTGCGTCGGGGTCACTACCTTGGAAGTATCCTACAGTAAGGGGGCGATGTCCTCGAAGGGAGGACTATAACAGATCTTGTGGGTCCCAGTGGTCGTTGGGACTTGCTATCCAACCCCCTCCACACGGAATAGAAGTAGGAATAAACACCTGATGATGCGGTGGCTGCGCGTAGGGCGGGTAGGGGTGCGGCAGCATGGCGGGCGGCGGGTAGCCCCCGTACGCCATCGCCATCTCCGGTGTCGTATACGTCGGCGGCGGGTAAGCTGGTGAACAGTATATTCATTTACTATAATAACATATTATCATACAATACTATCATATGTAGTGACACGTCTTTTGGCACGTTTGAAAAGCGATGGGAGTGTATTGTGATCAATCAATGAATGTCGATATACAATAACTATTTACCAATCAAAGATACCTTTCATCTGAATTTAATTTCATTTAGTTTTAGAAAATAAAGTTAAAATTTAGTCTTCATTAAAAAAAAGAAGTTTTTTTTATAAAATATTAACTATGTCCTACTACATCAATAGTGGCAAATATAAGATTTAAAATGGTGTGTGAATATAATCGATAAAAAAACAATGTAGATGAAATAGATTTTAGACGGTTTGGCAATCAACCGCTTAATGTTGTTTTTTTTTAAAACATTGACCTCGCTTTAGGATAACATTATCCTGTGTTGTAAGGACGACGTTTTACAAACATAAATTGCACGAGGACAAACACCCAGATACGAAACAACTATCTGTGGGTCGCACAAGTAGTTGTCCCGTGTGGGAATCGAACCCACGACCCCCGACGCCGAAGCCAATACCTCGGCAACTGCGCCACGGAGTTGTCAAAAGTTAAAGCATCCGAGCGTGAATGTGAAAGAGGTGGGTTCGATTCCCGCAGCGGTGAAAAATGTTGACTATGAGAGACTAATACCTGTGGGTGGCCACATCGGCTGGTAGTAGTGCGGGTGTGGATGGGGATGGGGATGGGGATGGGGGTGGGGGTGGGGGGGGGGTGGGGGTGGGGATGTTGGGGCACGGTCGGGTAGAAGTAAGCCTCCGCGGGCACCTGCTCCTCGATCTTGGCCTCCGTCGACGACAACGACGACAGCGACATCTGGAACAGAACAACCGCAGCTGTTTGAATTAATTCAATCCCATTTCGTTGTGTATTTTATCACTTACGTGTGCACTACACCAAATGTCAACGTCTGCACGTAAAACGTAAGACAATGGAGCGAAACCGATGATAAATATTTAAAATCAATAACGGAACTTGAACCGAATAGACGGAAATAACGAACAGGTCTTGCATTTCTGGCTTTCGACGTCTCTTAGGCCTCCAAGCATCTAGCCATTGAATAACCGTGTGACAAACGACGACAGTAGCACGACTTAAATACACGTTAAATATAAAGTACTAACAGCCTTTCACACCGCAAATTTTGATGAAACCCACACGGAATACATTAAACTTAACAAGATTTGAAAACCGGCCAAGTGCGAGGCGGACTCGCTCACGAAGGGTTCCGTACCATTATCTATGTATCAGGTCTGTTGTATGGGAGCCCCACTTAAATATTTTTTTATTTTTTTTTTTAGTATTTGTTGCTATACCGACAACAGAAGTACCTATTTCTGTGAAAATTTCAACTGTCTAATGACAGTCATGTCTCAGTTCATGAGATACAGCCCGGTGACAGACGGACGGACAGACAAACAGACAGCGGAATCTTAGTAATAGAGTCCCATTTTACCCTTTGAGTACGGAACCCTAAAAATATAGGTTATTTATCTATTAATACTTTATTGTACACCAAAATATATATATATATATATAAATCAAATTACAAATGAATGTAAAAGGAAGTACAATAAGCGGCCGACAACCAATGCGAAAAGAATTTTTGCTAATGAGACATAAAGAAGAGAGCAGAGGGAGGTGTACATGAATCACTTATATATAGTTTATAATAGGTTAGATTGATCGCAACGCCATCTGGGACACTCCCTGCTATTGGAATAGTGCTTGATTGTCAAGTGCGGCGCTTGCCTGGTCGTCGTCCAGATTGTCCTGGTCCCTGTCGGGCGGTGCGGCCGGCGAGCGCCGCCGCTCCTCGCCGGTCAGCAGCTCGTCCTCCGAAGAGGAAATGTCCGAGCCGATCTTGTCAACGCCGGCGACTTTCTTGCGCGGATGCTCCTCCTTCAACTTCTGCGAGACGAGCATAGTTGACACATATTTTATATATGTTTTATTTTAGAATGGCGACGTACTATCCGGTCACCTGATTGTATGTAAGCACCGCCGCTCATAAACACTGGCAACATCATTGGAGTTACTTTCGTTAGCAACTACGGATAATCGATTTGTTTGTAAGATTTTTCAGTAGTCCTTAATACATTGATCTTGCAAATGAATAATGAAAATGAATAAACAAATTAATAATAGAGCACTCACGCATTTACTCTATCGCATCTATTGCTATCCATTATATATGTTATGAATAATGATTTTGATGGTTATCTTATATTCGGCAACGCCCTCAGCAGCTACGAACCTGAATATTCGACAAAATATATGTACTAAAATTACGCAAAATGTCAAATGATAAAAGAAATATTTGCCAAGCTATCAAAACTTGTTGTAGTATGCGACTGGGATTCAAAACTACATCAAAGAATCAACGACCCCAGCCAGCACGTCACGTATCTGTGGCATGTTACGATATGTATATTAAAAAAAAATATCGCTAACTAAACAAAAATGCTAATTCTCCTCTGTTCTTACCCTCTCAATGGTGTCCTTCAAGCATTCGAGGTAGAAATCCCGGCTCAAATAGGGGGACGGTGTTTTCGAAAGTGGCTCGGGGTCCACTTCCTTTTTGGCGCTCACTGAAATTATGCTGCCTCGATCCTCGCTGCCCGATCCTGTGCCATAAATAAGTCTATTCCATTATTTTCTTCTGAAAACATTTCGATAACATCAGCACATTTAAGATTAACAATTTTAGATTCGTATATTCCTTGTTTCATCCCCGATTACACTACTTTTTTTTTACAAAAGCGCTTAATATATAGAGCAAGACCCTTCATCAAAAACCTCTTGATTCAAAATGGCAAAATTCAAATATCATTATTTATACAAAAAGCATAATTATCGCACAATACCTTATCTATTGATTACAAATTCCCAGTCGACCCCGTGGAGTTGGAAGAAACGGTAATAAGTAAAATAAGGAATTTACTGTATTTTTTTTATGTACGAAGAGAAACGAGCCCGAGGGTCACATGATGTTAAATGATAACCGCCGCCCATTGACATTTGCAACACCCGTAGGGTAAGATGCGTTGCCACCTATTAATAAAGTGGGTCCCGCTTACATCAGTCACTAGACAGGTATAACACATCCACTTCACGCTGGTCTTCTGTGAGGATGGACCAGGACGGACCTGCACATTCGTATAAAAGAGAAGACTGTTTGGCCCTAGAGGCTGTATCTGTCGACACGGACCTTCGTCGTCGGAAGGTGGCTGGTTCGTGTCCAGGTCCGGGATGCGTGCTGGCAGCCGCTCGTCATCCTCTTCTTCGGAGGAGATGCCGAGCGCGAGGAATGGGGGCGCCAGACCACCGCCGCCGCTGGCGCCTGACAGCAGCATCGCGATCCTGGACACGAAAACCCTCAGTTCAGCTCAATGCAACGTGGTCACCATGGCAACGAGTGTTGGTTCTCTTGCTGTGTGGGTTCGATAAATATTAAATCAATAAATGTTTCAGGGCATATTCACACAACATTATCTAGTCCCAAACTAAGCAAAGCTTTTGCTATGGCTACTAGGTAACCGATAAACATCCTTAAAAATACTTTTTTAATACATGTTATACATATAGAAACACCTAGAAAATGAAAAAATACTATATTTATCAAACAATATTTTCCAGTTGCGGGAATCGAAACCGCACTCTCTGGCGCAAGAGGAGGCAAAGACAAGATCACTATCCCCTATGCCAATAGGGTCGTCCAATGCTCGATATTTTAAATGTCGATGTTAGCTGGTGCAAGAGTTTGTGTGATCCGTGAATAGCTGTCCTGGGTCTGGTTGTGTCGATGAGTTATTGTGGAATCTTCCATGACAAAGGAACGAAGTTTACGAACGAGAAGTTTGAGAAACGGTGTTCACCTGGTGTCCAGATCAACGTTCTTGGGCTCGTCGGCGGGCGGGGGCGGCTTCGGCTCGGGCACTGCGTCAGGCCCAACTCCTGGCGGGGGCGGTTCAGCATTTTCCACCACCTTGCTCTCCACCGGCAACTCCTGCGTGCAGTATTCATTGGTAATTCAATGGGATCTTAACTAGAGCAAAACTTTTCAAATCAGATTCGAAAAAAACTTTACCAGCTGCAGATCGTGAATTCAATGTGCAGACTGCACCTAGTTGGCACGATGATTGTGAATGTAAATTTAGAACCTTTTCATAAAGATTAACATGCTTCAAATCTAAAAGATGCTTTACGTACAATGTTAACCTTCAACTAGGGACATGACAAATTTATAACACTGTAAGGGACATGACGTCTCACAGGCTACTACTTCGAAGTTAAAAATTTGACAAAAATGCATGTGGATGATTTAAAATTGTGTTTGTATTTAACTATTGGTATACAATAAAACAAATATAAATGATTTCATTCATTTTTTTATAATTACTTAGAATAAAAACTATAATTATCAATTAGTGGTCATTTTCGGCCTTAATTGACATGAGATCCTTTTTTAACATTTTAATAGACTTTATATAAATTCTATTACAAATTTCACTCTTTTTACTTAAAATGTAATAATAAAGAAAACAAAACAACATAAAAGCTACTTCTGAAAACTAAAAATAAAAATTCTGACACCCACTCAATTTAGCATAAAATCATTGGCAATTTTTGCACAAAGGGCGAGAACATTGCAAACATACGGGATTGTAACACCCGACACACGTGTACACTGTCATTCTGTGTAGTTTGGGCGGTCAAAACACTGCATGTCCTTCGCTTGCCTTGACTTGATTCAGGATTTTGCCGATTTTGGACATCTTCAACCATATCGTCACCCAACCCAAAAGTAGCGTAGCCGTAACTCCCTTGGTAATTGACTGCACACAACACTTATGGATTTGGGGTAGCACTAGAGAACGGGCTAATGCCTTAATTTTTTTATTTTTTTTTCATAGTACCCACATAAGTAAGCTTATGTTTTGCCAGCTCATCAATTAGTTCTATAGAAGAGAACCAATTATCAGCAGTCACAGTTCTATATGAAGGGAGAACCTTCAATTGTTCGTATTATTTTATTCTTTGTTGAATTTGTGGGCAGGAGTTGAAGTTTCCTAGCGTTTTCTGCCATTTTTTACTAAAAATTAAATAAAAGTAAAGTAGTTCGTAAAAGTATTTGTATGACAACTAGGGACATGTAGCCTCACAGGCTACGGTCGATTTTCTAAATCGTATTACTTACGTGTAAAACAACCGATAAGACTTCTGTCTTCAAGGTACTGAGACGTTGGGTCGTGGCAAGCGTGGGGAAGTGGTCAATCCTAAGAATTTACAAAACACGCGACGCCTGTGAGACTACATGTCACCAGTTAAAGGTTAAGAAATATTGTTAGAAAAGCCATGCGATAAGAATACGAAAAGCATGCATTCAACAGTCACCTGCTATAATGATAAATGCTTTGCAATCTTAGCAAATTAGAGCATTACAAATGTAAAACGAACAACTGCAATGTCTCAGGCATTTACATTGTGAGAATACAATATAAATGCCCGAGACATTACATTAAATTTAATAAAAACTAAGCATTTCACAGCCGACACTCCTCTAGTAAATATAATTAGAATAAAACAAACAATCAATTATACCACATCGAAATCTTCGGAAACATTTGTCAAAGTCTACCAAATTAGCATCTATCTAAAATCTAACCACACCAATTACAAAAACCCACTAACGACATCAATTTGTTCACCTCGGAAATTGTACCAATATCGTGTTGATAATTTAGCATATATTCATCTTATTCTACGACCTATTAATATCGTGTCGGGGCGTCTAAAAATCAGTTTGCATACGGCATGAATATCACAAATAAGTAACAAAATTTACGTCATAGATCTGAATTATTTGTTATATGGTTTATTTATAACACATAACATTGCGAGCTACCGCTTTCAAATCGAATAGTTAAGAGGCGTTTGTTTGCAAAGTGCCCCGAAAATAACCGACACAGACTATTAAAGAAAATTCTCGAAAATTTATAGACCGTGCCAAACTAGAAGGCCGCAAGCGCAATTGGCTCTCGAGTTGTGCACATGTGTACCGTTAAGTGCAAAAATCGCTAAACAATAAACTATGTTCCCAACGAATGATAATTTTACTTCGTATCTGTACATCAAAGTATATTATGAGCGAGACAAGAAGAGATTTAAACTGCGGCGAGAACGAGAGGGCATTGAGAGGGCTATGACTCGGGCGAACTTCGGAGACGCATAACCGTACAAGCTGCGGGGTATGAAGAGTTGAGATAAAATATTCTTTATAATAATTGTTTGTGTATTTTTTTGGAATGAAAAGTATCCGAAAAACGCATTCAGCAAGGGTAGCGCTGCGGTAGAGTAGGGTAAATAAAAAAAAAGCTTCAAAAGTAATTGGAATATGATAGAGAAATAAAAAAGGACCAACAAATTTCTGCTTGGTCACACATTTAAAAAAAAATGGTTTGAAAACACCCATACGATACATTACTGATGCGATTATCTAGTTATGAATATTATGAAATGTTCGAACAGTAGTCTATTTTACGCTATTCCCATAGGTAATTTAATTTTTATTTTCGTCATACAGCTGGACATATTCAACTTTTCCTCCATACAAGGCGGTACTTTTTACTTCTACCCTCGTTACTCCCGCAGTCATTGGCCCGACGCGGGGTTATTGACCCAATTGCGATTCGCCGTCGCAAACTATCGACACGATAATCGGTACAACCGCCGTCGGTGTTAAGCCCGATTTAAACCGGTCAAGTGTTTAGTACAGTAGACAAGTACAGTAAGTACAGCAGTGTAAACCTTCGGACAATGGTGACAGCCAGGTCGACTCGCCACTGACTGTCTGACCGTTTAAAGTAAAAAAAAAAAGTAAACTAACAGCCTATACATGTCCCACTGCTGGGCAAAGGCCTCCTCTGTAAAGAGGGTATCAGGGCATAGTCCACCACACGACCCCACTGCGGATTGGCGGACTTCACATATTTTATAAATATTTTTAACCGACTTCAAAAAGGAGGAGGTTTCTCAATTCCACCCTACATATTTTTTTTATGTGTGTTCGGGGATAATGTCGTCATTTATGAACCGATTTTGATGATTCTTTTTTTGTTGGAAAAGAGATATCCCAAGAGCGGTACCATGATAAGGAAACACAGATGTGATGATGGCACCCCGGAGAAATCGAGGGCAATCCTCAAATGTTATAGGCGTTGACAATGTTTTATTAATTTCCTGTCTGAATTCGGATTTTTTTTTGTTGAAAATTATTTTTGTTATTATTTCGAAAATATGCAGGTTTCCTCACGATGTTCACCGGCGAGAACGTAATAAGTCAGCGATGATGAAATTAGCGATGATCAACTTAATGAATGAATTTGTTAATCATTGGTGCTGGCACCGGGGATCGAACTCAGGTTGCTCAGGTAAATTGAATTAAAGGCGAGCGCCCGGACACTGAGCTATCACGGCTCCGACCGTTTACACTATTGTACTTAGTAACTGTACTTGTCTACTGTACTAAGCATTTATGGTGACCGCAGCCCGACCTTCTTGGCCTTCCTCTCCTTGGCGTCGGGCGAGCGCTCCTTGTGCGCCGGCGTCGATGGCGCCGTCCACGAAGAGCCAACGCCCCTCTCCGGCTTGGGGCACAGCACACATTGTACGCGTACAGAGTCGGGAAAACGCTATGGTTGCGAGCGTGGACTATTTTTTTTAACTTGGGAAAGTGACAAGCGAGGGTTCACCTGATATTTTTTATTTATTTTTTATGAGAATAGTTGCTAAATTAGCAGGCAGTTCACCTGATATTAAGTGAATACCACCGCCCATTGACATCGGCTACACCCGAGGGTTGCAGATGCTTTGACAACTCGTAAAAAAAATTGACAAATTTAAATCGAAATGGACCGTACGAGCGAGACTGGGAAAGCTAACATAGACATATAAATAAGTCAAATGAAAAACAAGTTTTATGAAGTAAGACATTAACAAACAGTAAAATATCAACACAATTCTTAATTTTTTATTTTAGCACTCACACTTTCGCAACTTATTCATTATTTTTTGTGCAGTCCACTGCTCTCAAACCATAGTTTTTGCCCAAAAAAATGAGTAGTTATAAAATGAAATTAGTTAGCCCATGATTTTATGAAAAATTTAATTAAGCTTTAAAATATTTAGAACTAATGAAACTTGATATCAATTTACAAAATAAAATGCAAGACATATCACAATCTTGTTAATGATTATTAGTTAAAACCAAATGGTCTAAAATGAGATATTATGAGAACTCAATTAATTATTAATTATCACTTATAAGAAACATTGAATCAAAATTGTCAATAATTAAAATTGTCAGTTGTCATAACTAACATTGAAAATCCATTTTGATATATACACAAATTACTTGCATTGCTTAATGTGGGAATGTATATGAATCATTACTTTATCAATTTGGTAATTGCAATCCTAAAATCAGTTTATTTTTAAGATTATTTTTATATTAGCTGTCTGTCAAAATAAGAGTATATATTCACATTTTATTTATAATGAAACAACATAAAGAATATACAGCGTGTCGTTACCATCGCGACAATAAATGAACACACGTCTAACGCTACTTGCCAATAATCATAAAAAATATTAACATTAAAAAAAATCCATAATTAAAAAAAATATTTTTCAAACAAACTAATTAATTAAAAAAGAAACAAAATTTGTAACATCATATACAACTCGCGCCACAGCGTCGCATTACAAGCCTCTCCTTCTAACAGTATATTTTGTCTCTTTTAAATTCATTCAACCCATTCATATGCTTTGTGACCTTTACAAATGAACTTTACGTTACAGTTTTATACGTAAGGATGTTCTAAAATTCTTTGTTTTGGAAAATTTAATAACTCTGTAAATATTGATGTTTAAAGAAAGTAAATGTTTAATACAATTTTAAAAAGTTATCATCTATATGTGTGTTCATTTATTGTCGCGATGGTAAAGACACGCTGTATATCATGTACTATGTCACTTAATGAAGCACTTTTTCATACTTTAATGCGCCAATAAGTAAGCGGAAATATAATGTAATAATTTATTATCAGTATTAAGTCTGATCAATAAAGTAAGATCAGTAAACAGGAGTGATCTTTGAGCGTAGTAATGATATTGAAGTAATAAATTGTATTATTTCTCTATTACATGACAACCAGGGCTTTTAACGTAATATTTTATGTGAAGTGTGTACTCTTGAAACATTGAAAAGATTTGTGCTTAAGATTGTGCACATTTAGAATAGAATCTAAATTTTACAGTGACATACATGTTCAGCATTATTAACTATATTAGGTTGAAATCAATCAAGGGTAAGATTGTATAGATTATACAGATGAAATTATTACATTTTTATGTTATACATGACTGTGTTTGTATGCAATGTTAAAAATAACTATATTTACACGTATTTTTTTTTTTGCTTTTTTATAAATATATAAAATCTGTACAGCAAGCAATGCAATGCTAAATGATGGTGAAAATTAAATACAGTTGAAATTTTTGTGATTTTATAGATACCAATTTTTATAAATTGTTGTTAACTTGTGTATTAATGCACTAATTTAAACAGACTTACATGGGAATGGTGATGTGTTGCATGTGGGGGATGTCTCCAGTCCCACCACATGCCGCTTGCACTTGGTGCGGGGCTTGCTCCATAGCCATAGCCATAACTGAAAATATTAGTAATGTTTGTGAAATAAAATGATTCATAAAATATAAATATTCACATTTATTGCTTGGCTTTCGAAATAATTATATTTAATATGCCATCAACAAAAGTAATTAAATGTATAAAATGTGTGAAAAATGTACACATGGACTTCTTAAATAGAATACATATTTTTTACAGGACCAATACTAACCAATAATAAACAAATTATTCATAAAATGACGTAACTTTGTGAAAACAAATTAATTTGAAAATCTTTCTAGGGCCATTGGACAAATAATGTTACTGTTTACATTAACTTACCTCTGCTGATAGTAGGGGTCATACGGTAATGGACCAGTCGGAGTGTAGGGCACTTCAGTTGTATGACTGGGGGGGAGTGCGGTCGTGTGCGTTGGAGCGTGACTAGTCGCGTGACTAGTCGCGTGACCGGTCACATGACTAGCCACGTGGCTGGCGGCGTGGCTGACTGCGTGGCTGGACGTGTGACTGGACGTGTGGCTGGAACTGTGGCTGGGGGCCGCGAACGGCGATTCGCTCGTCTCGCTACTACCACGCGCGTATCGTTCCCTGTACCTGTTACAACATTGAATATTAACTTTTAAGTTAGGTCTGCTTCGAAAAAGTGCTGGATACAAAGGAATTCTAATAATACATAAAGCCACAAGCTGTCACGCTACTATGGACGTGCTTTTTAGGTAACCTTAAAAAATCTGGGTGCTGCTATGGGAAAAATGGATAAAAATAATGCTTACACCAATGTTTCATATGTGATAATTCATTAGTCTTGTTATTATATACTTGGCACAAATCAAAATTATAACAAGACAAGAGTCATAGAAAACCTAGAAAGACATTATTTCTACAGTTAAGATATCAGAAAAACTGAACTCAAAATGCATGCCACTGGGCTTCAGATGATGAGATGTTTATCTCAGATCATTGAATAAAATTAAAAAATATTATATTAAGTATACATTAATGAAATCTAATTAAAATAATTGGAGCATATGTTAAAAAATATGTGTGAATTTATACATTTTTAAATTAATAAGAAAATGCATTTTATAGCTGTGTGTATAATGAATATATTACCAATTATCACAAAATACCAAACATCAAACAACTAAAATGCGCACTATAAATGTGAATGAATTTTACCTTTCTTTCCTTCTACATTTCCTCTTGCATCGTCGGCTTGTGAAATTGATTTATATGTTAATAATAAAATGGGATCATTTTTTTACAAAAGAAATTCTGTTAGTCATAATCACACACTAATGAATATCTTATAACATTTTTTCTACAATACTTAATAATCATTTATATAGTACATAAATGCAATGTTGCAGTTAAAATCTTATTTGGTTTCTTGGTTATGTACTTTAATATTTCATAATAAATTATTAATAGTTAGTAAGTGTGAACTATAACTATATATCTTCCGTTTATAATATTACCGAATATTTTTGACTTAAAACTTTCTTACCGCTCTCTATCCCTATCTCTATCCCCACGGTCTCTATCTCCATCCCTTTCCCGCTCACTGCGACTGCGATGTCGATGTCTGTACTCGCGCTCCTCATCCGACCAACGTGTGTTACTGTCACTATGATCGTCCTTGTAGCGGGAATACTCCTGGAGGTAAACATTGTTATAAATTAACTTTGTATTTAGTAATACTAAATTAATCACCCACTATAATTCAACCGATTTTTATCTATTGCAACAGTTTTTCTCAGTACCTAGTTTTTTTTTAATGATTTTCGGTCGTTCTCCAAATGATTACCTAAGGCCATCTACAATACCACTAAGGTTGCAAATGGATAGTTGAATTTAAAATAGAGCAGTTTCAGTAGAGTTAGTTGCCACATTCACCAGATAAAATGCAAAAATACATTTACTTCCACAAAAGCATGGAAAAAATTGTATATATTTTAAGATAATAAATTAATATCCCTTTATTTAACACTGTGTTACACGTCAGGTTATAGCTACATTAGATAAAAGAAATTCATTAGTTTAATTTTTTTTGAGTTTGTTTTATTTTGTTTCATTCAATATCACTTAGCTGTATTGGGAATTGTATATCAAGCAAACAGACATACCAGCAAACTTTTACTTCTTGTAACATTATCATAAAGATTAATCTGATAAATAAGAAAGGTTTTAATCATCATCATCGTCATCGTCATCAGCCGCAAGACGTCCACTGTTGAACATAGGCCTCCCCCTTAGAACGCCTCAACGAACGACAACGACACACTCGAAGAACTGATGACCGATGGGGAGTAAAGGTTCTCGAGTGGCGACCACGGACCAGAAGACGTAGCGTTGGAATATCTCCCTCTAGGTGGACTGACGACATCATAAGAGTCGCGGGGAACCGATGGATAGGTCTTAATAGCACATTAGAATCAAGAAAGCATTTTCACTGCTTTTTAGTCACCCAAATTTAACATTTTTTTTAAGACTATTCTAGACTTTCTCGAAAATTCCAAAATCTATCTCCATATTTAATCTCACCAGATCTCAAAATTGCAATGTTGAGTCGAAAATGCATTCCCTAGTTATGTTATTATTATGTATTAAATATATAATATTCACCTTCTCTGTTAATTTTGTGTCTTCTAGTCGCTTACTGAGAAGCTCAGTCTTGGATGAGCGTATATCTTCAACAGATGACTTGGCAGTTGATGACGCTGACATTGGTTTCCTTTCCATTGTCTTCTCTTCAAACATCTCTTGACATTTTTTCCCAAAGGGGTCATGAAAGACATCTAGCACCTAAAGAAAGTAGTATAGTTCTACACATGTGGATTCTGCACAAAACTTAATACTTTTTCATAAAATGATGCACAGACACATTATTTTGTTAAGTTATTAATTTGAAACAAATTAAAAATTACTGCAATGATAAAATATTAATGCCTAAACTGAATTTTTCTATTTATTCTAGAAAAAGAAAAATTAATGCAATGTTAACAGTAATAATTCAGTAGTGCTGCAAATGAAATAAATCAAATAAAACAATTACCTGGCCCATAACTGACTTTCCATTGTATTTTTCAATGCACAACTTAGAGTACTTCACATCTTGAAACACAATTCTACCAAATCCCAAATGTCTTTGTGTAATGGGATGGTAAAATATTGTTAACTCTTCATGAGGGCCTACTTTATTCATCATGTCTGTCAAAAATGCCTTATCAATGTTATCATTCAAATTTCCAATTGTTATCTCTAATTGAGGTGGTGTTCCCACGTAATTTTTGTCTATCCTGAACCTGAAAGCGAATTGTTTTTTTAAATTTCCCGCTTAAGTCGTAATGTCACTTTGAGTTACGTTGGTAGCATTGTATGTTAAAGTATAATAAAAACAAAGAAAATTATAACCAAAATTACGTAAAAAAATTGTAAATACTCTGCTTAGAGAGTAAATTTTGTTATAAACAATAGTTTTTAACAAATTCAATACCAGAAAAGTTTTGTTATCCCAATAGAAATCCCGTATAGTGTAATTATGTCATTTGACAACATATTATTAGTTAGTCTTTTTTGCAATAATAAGAGGAATAAAGTGATATATTTTATGATAACTACCTAATATTTGCTATTTGGTTTCTAAATGACCTCTTTAATGCTTAAAAATACATCTATAAACCATACATATTGATGTTTTTGTTTTGGTACAAACAGTACAAAAATTATGAGAATGTGAATTATAAGAAAATACCTAGGGACTGGTAAATCGGCTGGTTCTAACTTATTCCATATCCTCGATAGTTGTGACCTAGGATCCCTGCAATGAACTGGTGGATAAGAGGCATCTCCAGGCACACAGCCATCGTATCTGTACAATTTTGTTGCTCCTTTTACAAGGCACGGATCCATGAGCAATTTATAGTTTTTAGGTGCTTTATGAAGCACCGCATTATGACCTGGAGTTCTGTGCTCCATTCCTCCATTCATTCTGAAAGAAAAAAATAACATTGATATATTTTATACATAACCTCACCAATTTATATCTAAATTTTAATCCAGAATTAAAATATAGATTGAATAAAGGTAATGCTGAAATTACAATAACCAGTAGCAAAAGTTTATTGATAACTTATAAAACGAACCTGAAATGTTTATAAAACAATATGTTAGAAAAATGTAATGTCTGTTTTTTAACGAATAATAATGATATGACGCAATATCATCTTTTCTAGTAATAAATCAAACTTTTGTATTCCAATGCACATGCTAAAAAGAGAATATCACAGAGCTAACACGATAACATCGAATTAAAAAATATATTTCTACAGCAAGCACTCTCCATGGTGACGACCACTCGAGCTTTAGGCTACTAGCTACTACTACTAGTCTACTACTAAGTACTACAAACAAAATATAATTTGTTGAATGATGATGAATAAAATATTTATAGCATATTTAAATAACAATAAAATTGTTTTTAATTAAATTAAGTATAAATTAAATACAATGAAATGAAATAAACAACAGAACTTCTATTTATTAACATTCCTAACAATTTTTTTCATATTTTTATACTCTGTAATTTTATAATACCGTGTATCCGTTTTTACGAAATGATTAGGTTGGTAGCAGAATGACCATCTCAAAAATGGTTAATTTGCCCGACATAAGCAAAAAATCGGCCAAAATCTGCCAAACTCGACTCCAAAAAATGCCTAAAATATACCATCATATTATTGTATTGTTTTTCTTCTTTACGTGTCAAATAAGATGACAAATCATATCTTTCCGGCCCAGAACTTAGCCACTTCGACGGCACAATTTTTGGCATCTATCAAATCCTGCTGCGAACAGGTGAAAGAGCAGGCAGAACAGGACATCAGGTGAGCCATGGACTGCACTGCCCCACACATACAGTCCAGGTCTGAGTTTTCTGAGAGTCCCTACCTGAACGTATTTTCCTCGCTTCGGCCAACCTGAGTCCGAAGTCTATTCAAAGACTTCCAGGTTGGCCACGGTAGTCTATTGGCCACCAGCTGGAAGACTCTCAGAAAGCAGGACAAAGGGATCCGGAAGCAGTGTTTGAGCACGCCACATGCTGCATCTCGCTTGTGAGGGCTCGGTTGTGAGGGGGTCGACATATTTTAAAAAACTTTTTCGAAATTAAATACTAATTATATTGCTAGAGACAGTACAGTATAATTAATGAAATAGACATTCTTTTGCATGAAGGATTTGACATCTTCTTTTTCGTCATTCCCTCACTGCTGAGGATCGATCTTTACTCATATTCAATTGGTCAACGAGCTACCTACATCGGTTTCACTCTGTCGCCTTGTGAAGTGCGGCGCATATGGGGAATTCTATGTTTTCATAAATTTGATCCACCGACCTTTTAAGATTACGGCCACTATGTCTTTTACTCTCTATTTTCCCCATTTAACATAGGCAAATTTAAAAGAGTTTTTGCAAGTTTGAAATGTTTAAAAAGTAAGTTAAAATTTTTATTTTTACTTGAAAATCTCTTTCAGTATAATATTTGGTAACAACTGCAAGCGTTAATATGGTTGTGACTAGTTTACAATTGCAAGCTTTGCAAAATACAACACCAGGATTCTCCTTACTTCTGAAAATCTAATAACGGTACGGATGTTCGCGTTTTCTTTTTTAATTGAAAACTGGCTAGCACTTGACTGCCATCCCACCTGATGGTAAGTGGCGATGCAGCCGTTAATGGTAAGTGCAATAACTCAGTAGAAACCTATTCACTCTTGCCTTGCAGACGCCTACGTTGTATTCGGACGCCTTTTTCATGCACGGAAGACACAAATACACACATTAAAAGACCATAAACCGGGAAATCACCATACTATATAGCATGGGAAGAAAGTTGCCACATCAAAAACAATTTGCTACCAAATAATATAAAAAGTAAATAAGACATAAAATATTATATATATCCTAAATACAAATACTAATTTTTACGAACAAATGTATTTCAAAAAACAATAAAGATTTCCTTGAAATCTGCCAAATTCGGCCACTTTTTTGAATCGCCACGCGGGCCACGCCCAAAGATCTTATACTTACAAAGTTAGTAAGTGTAAAGTCTTTGGCTACGCCAGTCTAATATGCCACATAAGTATAGGTGCAAAATCTGCCCAAATGGCAGAAATCTGCCACAAATGGTCACACTGGTTGGTAGTTTGGTAGATAACCATCACTTGGTGAGTCCATCGATATTTTGGTTAAAATATTCTATTAATTTTAAAGTAGTTGTATTACAAAATTAATTCAGTGTTTCATAAAAGAAAGGAAACATTTTTTTACTTAAATTGACATACAAAGAACTTTTAACATAACTAATTAGTAATTTGTCTACGGAATTAAACACTCGTTTAATAAGCAAGTAAAAAATATTTCATGACATTTATCGTATCGGAATTTTTAAGTTATTAATAGTTGGGATAATTATCGAGCAATAATCGATGTATCGTCATTGTTTTGCATATTTATTCGTTCATATTCAAAAAGTACGATGATGAAATTCGTTAATTCGTAAATAATAATAATTTACACATTTAAATAAAAACGTAGGCTTACTACGAGGTACAAATAAAATTAAACGTACCCTTCCTAGAATTTTATTTATGCTTCAAAAATTAAACTAGAGTTGCATTTATAATATATCGAAACTATTTGCAAGGTAGTTTTAAAACAGTTAGTTTTTTTTATTATACACCAGAATGTCTCGTAGATTGGAGATTTTTTCTTACTTACTTGACACTTCGTTATATTTTAGGCAATTCACACAATATCTTTATAAATTATGTCTTATCTGTTATTATGATGTGTTAGCTATATTATTGTAAAGTTTCACTAAAATCCATTCAGTATTGTTTACGTGAAAAAGTAATGAACATCCATACATCCATACTTTCGCGTTTATAATATTAGTAAGGATAAGGATATGGATTGGGATTTATTAGAAAAATATTTATTACACAGTAGGAGAATATTTACAATATTAAAACTAACTAAATAGCATCCAAATAACATTACAATAATCCAAATAACATTGACGTCATTTAGGTTCTTCTTCTTCTTTTTTCTTTATGGCGAGCGAGGTTAAAATCTTTAATAATTTTGACTCACAAGATCAATCTAAATTGATACGATTTAAATAATCTAACAATACCGATGTTTTTAATAATAGACTATTGACATATCGATATTTTAACCCATCCCTACTTGTCACATAGATTTGGGGCGCATTGGATCGGTTCGGTTGTTGCATCATCGATTTCAGGTGATTTTCGTAGATATTGGATATATTAAGTTCAAAATTTACTAAACTATTCAGAAACAGGCAAACCGAAATCTAAAAAACTTGTTTGTTATGGACATTTCAGCTAAAATGACAGAAAAATTGATTCCTGTTGTAAAAGCTGATGAAGAAGAAGTTGAAGAGGAAGAATTAGTGGACCCGCAGCAGCAACTTCGGGTACAATTCCTCAACTTTATATTAAACCCTGGTTTCTAACGTAATTCCTTAATCATAACATTTAAGGGTAATCTCTAACCTTACTACATATACGGTTTGAGTGTTAGCGTTGCGAACTTCATCTTGAGGTCTTGATCTACTGTTCAAATAAAGCATTTAATACATAGAACTGAAGTAGGTAATATTATTACTAGGTAATATTATAAAAGGATCTCATCAAAACTGCCTTAAATAAGTCCCTCCTTATATTGATTTCTTCTACTTAAATCCTGCACAATGCTAAATAAAAAAGGTAGTTTGTTAAATTTTTAATTTCAATTTACAATTTTTAAAAGCTGCCTCAAACAAACATCCATTAATTTCATTGAAAAACAATAAGATCACTTTTATGCAGAGTGCCTTAAATTTAATAAAGGTAAAGATAATTATGTGTTGTAAAGATATTTTACATACATAAATTGAACTTGACAATCCCCATGAGGAAATTAGGCATAATATGTATAGTAGTAAAATAATATCCCATTCTTTTTGTTTTTATAATGAAATTTTTTCTCTTAGGATTTTTCAAGAAACCCAGCTCATACTGATGAGGAAATTTTTATAAAGGTTTTTTTTTCTTCTCTGTAGTTAATTTTTTAATTCTTGGTATTTTAGGAAGAGAAATGTAGTTCGGTATTTTATTAATTGTATTTTAACAGTTTGTAACATTTTAAAGTTAATACAGGTTTGTGAACTTATAACATGTTGCAGGATGTTTGCTCTCAGAAGCCTGATGCCCAGAACCTCTGGGCTAAGTTTCAAGAGTGTAATGATCGTGTTAATTCCCGTTCAAATACTGCAGAGACATGCGAGGAAGAGCTTATCGACTACATTCATGTTCTAGACAAATGTGTCAACAAAGACCTTTTTAAGAGGCTAAAGTAATAATTTAATCTTAGAAATCACTTTATTGCCGCAACAATATATGTTTCATTGCTTTTAAACTTATTTTATGTTTAGTAGCAGTGTATAGTTTCTTTTGATCATTGAAGATAATCATAGATTCCTTGTTATTGTAAATAAACTTTTAGTTTAACCTAAGATTTTTATTGTACTTCCTGTCTTCGATTAAAAAAAAAACAAAATATGTGGTATTTTTTATAATGTATTTGAAAAATTTATTGTTAATAAACATTTATTAGCTTTGTGATAAGCATTATGGCCAAAAAAGTTTAGATTAATGGATTATAACAATTAAGAGTATTTGTTGTTTAGTGACTGATTAAAGAAATAAGATAATATTCGTAATATTTGTTTATTATAGCACATACAAAATTTTTAATTAAAAAATATAATTCTTAATGGGCATACATTGCGGAATGTTAAATAATAATTTCAAATGCATGAATGAACAAATAAACAAATCATTAATTGCAAATGTAATATCTATTATTATCTTATTTTCCAAATATTAAATAAAATACATTTAATCACAATTATGTAATAGAAAATTATGATATACAACAAGTAAAATTTTTAAACAATGTAATAAATTCAGATCACACTGCAGTTACAAAAACAAACTTTATCATTAAACTAAATTGCTTTCATCTGGGATATGCCTCCCATTTGGAGGTTGGTACACACTTCTTACCTTCTGATCTCTAGTTTAATTTTTCTGGGTTGAGCGTTAATAATAAATACTTTTAAATTTAAAAAGCTTGGCTTTAAACAATAATAATGTCTATCATCATAAAACAGATATGAACAAAACACTTAAAGCTAGTTAGATTTTAAATATCTAAAAGCATATTGTTTACTTTGGCATTCATAATTTCAGTAAACATTTTAGGTTCCAGAACCTACTCTTGCGGAAAAAATATTTGTGATTTAGCCATAACTTAGAAAATAATTATAAAACATTGTATCACTTATACAATAAGTCACGTCAGATGTATATTGACACACTGACATGTAAAGTCGTCATATTAAAATGAAATTAAATGTACACACACATCTAATTGAACAATTTATATAAGCTGTCTGTATAAATGTGTTACAATACACACCCAGTTTACACTAAAAAGTAATTTGATTCACTAGACTGTATAATGGGTACATTTTTTAAATATCATAAAACTCATTTTATTCATATTACATTGTAATAAAGATAAAAGTTTTATAGCTTGTTATTAATGTCTTTTTTACAGATTTGTGATGGCTTAGTTTTATTATTAACGATGGAAAATTCGTTTCTGGATGTGTAAAGTGACCAATTTTCATAGTACAAAATTGCGTATGACTAAAGTGGCCTGTAAACCGTTTCAAAGAGCACTAACTGGCACCAACTTGTAAGACGTTAAAACATATTTCGCATACTCGTTGCGGCTTGTTGAGGCCGAATTTCAGGATGGGTACGTCTTGGTTGGAGCATTTGTTGCATAACATTCGACCGCAGTGACGGCTGAAAAAAGTATTTAAGTTAACAATTATTGTAATACATGTATCCTAATATCAAAATTAATGGTGAATTAGGCGAGTAAAAAGTTTTTTAGGCCAAGGCCTGGCAGTCTGCAAAAACGGCCGAGTTATATACGTATACGAGTACCACAAACATTACTCCGATTGCGCGGTGACGTTAAATTTTAGATTATAATATTTATTTTTATTTATACTTTATTGCAATTACCTTAATCAAGGATTACAAAGGGCAAACTTAATGCCTAGATTATAATATATGTTTTGTAAAAGAGTTAATCACCACAGTAGGTCAAGTATTCACTTATACGAGTGATTAGCTCACATCAGTAATGAGTTTTGCATACCAATGGTGTTTCCTCATGGTGAGGGTGAACTTGGTACCACATTCCTGACATAAGTCGCTCTCCGCCCATGGTGCTTCAGATGGCAGCGCGTCGAGCAATCTATGCAGGAGTTGTTTAGTAGCTACCTGTGGAATAAAATAATTATTTTATCCAGCTTAAAATATATTAATGTTCTTTATTAAAAAGTATAATTTATTTGGACTATGATAGTCTTGTGGCTGGGCCATATGAAAGTCAAATATCTTTATCAATATCGAAGCATACACTTACTTATTACCGGTGGTAGAGTTTTTTGACTCTACCACCGGTTCGGAAGGAAAGCCACTGACTTGAGAAGAACCGGCGTAAGAAACTCAGCGGGACATTTTTTTTAACTTGACAAAAAAATTACAAATATGTGTACAATTTATAAAATTCCACTTGAAAGAGCCTGGAGCGATCAATTCATTTCCAGAGTGTGTTATCATTCAAATAATCACTAATACTATAATAGCCAAAAGATGCGAAACATAGCTTTAACTTTTTAGATTTGAAAAATCCCCAAAATAAAGTAAGAATTATTGTCTATATTTTAATGTATATTCCATAGAAAAATGAGGAGAGTACTTGATAGTTAAATATGGAGATGCCATCTTTATTTTCTTGCGCAAGGCAGGCGCCGGCCCGCACCAATACTCTGCACATCGCGGCCTGCCCGTTCATGTAGGCGAGCAGAAGCGGTGTATTTCCCTAGAGAATATACAATGTAAATCGTAAATCGACCAAAAAGGGTAAAACCTATTAAAATTGACGGTTCATGTCCATGACACATTTTTAGTAACAAAAACAAACCGAATTTAAATATCTCACTCGCTGTATATTTTCCCTGATGTATCTCGGGAGTCCAAGGTCTAATACCATTGACATTGATATGGTACCACATGGAAATTAAACCAACCTAAAGGAAAATTATCTTTTTCCTACTATGTCTCCACTGATACGTCAGTGACTTTGCTAATAACGTACTATTTGGAGATCAAAATTATTATTTAAAATTGTTTAAAAAATGACGGAGGTTTGAGGTAACTAACAAAAGAAAACACAAACGAATTGAGAACCTCATCCTTTTTTTGAAGTCGGTTGAAAATGTAAACGAGCTTCGATTATAAGGTCCATAAACCAATTACGCCAATGTCATTATCATATTAGCACTAAAAGGTAAAGAGATATTATCTTCTGTATTTAATATTAAATTAAAAATATTTTAAAGGTTTCATATTTTAAGGGTGAGAATTTGAATGGCGCATCTATTGTCACTTAAGATTCCCACAGCGGCGACAATCTTTTCTTACTTTTTCTACATGTTTTAATGTTCAATCTTAAGTGCAGAGATTAGCACTATAAAAAACTTTAAAATTTACAACGTGAAGTATTCGCTTTAGTACAAACAGCCATTATATTTACATATTTGTTACCTGCAGGTCAGTTTTGTTGATTGGATAGTCGGGCATAAATTCAAGGAAAATTTCGCATATTGTTGCCGCGTTGTCCTTTTTGCACCAGCACAACTCATGCAAAGGATTGCGACCTGAAATTAATTAAATGTTAGTTTTATATCCTATATGAAGGAGTCGAACTCTCGTTGCCATATATGTTGGTAATAAGATCAATTTTCTGAACAGATTTACTTGTTTTAAGTTAACTCCCGGCCACCTCACTGTTGCACGTTAGCAACGTTCATTGCTGTGCTGATGACAGTACAGAAACAGATGACGTATAAATATACCGGCCGGACGTATAAATACCGGCCGGGCGAATATTTTTCAGGACCTGGCGTCGTATTCGAACTAGCTTCGCTCGAGCGTATCGAATTCAAAGCGAGCGTCCGGAGAATGAGATGCAACAAACAGATATAGAATAGGCCGTGCCCGTGATGAATCGTAAGTGTATAGAGTGTATCGAATTGAAAGCGAGCTGGGCTCTCGGGGTAAAGCAAGCGTCCGAACACTAAGTGTTACTGAGTTATGAAATGCAATGAACATATATAAAACAAGCCCCGATTGAAATGATTGTCGTGACGTGTCGCGATTGTATCGAATTGAAATATAGCTTCCGGACGCCGAGCAACAAGACGCAGCGAAAAGACACAGAACGGGCCGTAGTTCGAGGTAAAGCGAGCCATCCGGACGCTACAGAACAGATATAGAATAAGAATCGACTTTGAGGTAAAGCGAGCGTTCGGACGCTAAGGAACATAACATCATATAGAATGGGCCTCGCGTTTGAGGTGAAGCGAGACGTCCGGACGCTACGGAACATAACATCATATAGAATGGGCCTCGCGTTTGAGGTGAAGCGAGCCGTCCGGACGCTACCCAAAGAATAGATACGGAATGGGCCTCGCCTTTGAGGTTGTGCGCGGCGGCGTCGATGTCGCAGTCGGCGAGCAGCGCGCGCGCGGCCGCCGCGTGCCCCTCGCGCGCGCACACGTGCAGCGCGTTGTCGCCGCGCGCGTCCACCGCGCCGCACTCGGCGCCGCCGCCCAGCAGCGCGGACACGATCGCCGCGTGGCCCGCCGCCGCCGCCACGTGCAGCGCCGTGCGCCTGCAAGCACGTTTCTACATCATTTATGAAATTCATTCCATTTACGCAGTGTGCTGTGTGGCCGTGGCCGTGACACAGCTTATAACGTTTGTCCGATAGCAATTTCTTTTTCTTTTGATATTATATCGGTATCACGGGCCGGCATCCTAGCCGCGTTTGAACCCTATCATTATTTTGTATTATTATATTATTGTATACATATAACGTGGCAACATCACTTCCATTGGTACCACCACCAGTGAAATTGTTAATTCGGGCGACGATCCGAATGGCGTAGTGGGTAGTGTACCTGCTTCCTGCGTCAGAGGGTGTGGATTCGATCCCCACTACCGGAAAAATATTGTGTGATGAACATAGTGTTTTTCCAGTGTCTGGGTGTTTATATACAACGTGTCGTTACCATCGCGACAATAAATGTACACACATATAGGGGATAACTTTTTAAAGTTGTATTAAACATTTAAATTCTTTAAACATCAATATTTACAGAGTTATTAAATTTTCCAAAACAAAGAATTTTAGAACACCCTTACCTATAAAAGCGTCACGTAAAGTTCATTTGTAAAGGTCACAAAGCATATGAATGGGTTGAATGAATTTAAAAAGAGACAAAACATACTGTTAGAAGGAGAGGCTTGTAATGCGACGCTGTGGCGCGAGTTGTATAGGTGTTACAAATTTTGTTTATTTTTTACTTAATTAGTTTGTTTGAAAAATATTTTTTTTTAATTATGGATTTTGATTAACGTTAATATTTTTTTAAGATTATTGGCAAGTAGCGTTAGACCTGTGTTCATTTATTGTCGCGATGGTAACGACACGCTGTATATAATGCGTATGTATTTACAAAAGAAAAGTAAAAATGTATCTTAAAAATATTTATATAAGTCACATACTTGTCGGCGTCCCGGTCGTTGGGCCTGGCGCCCGCGAGCAGCAGGCTGCGCAGCAGCAGCTCGTTGCCCGCCGCCGCCGCCAGGTGGAGCGGCGGCGCCAGACTGGCGTCCTGCACGCGCGAGTTCACGTCCACCTCCACCGAGAGCAGGAACATCACGCTCTCCACGTCGCACGTCTGGATCGCCACGTGCAGGAAGTTGCGCCCCTTCTTGTCCACCTGCGGTCACGGGGGGGAAGGGGGGGGGGGGGGCAGGTGCAGTCTTCACTCTTTCACGAACAGATGACGATCAGGCGATAATGGAACGTCATCTGGAACAATGTCTCCATCGATCCATAAGTAATTAGTAGTGTTAACGTTTTCGCATAATAGTTTTCGTTGGTTATTATAATCTTAACAGTTTCACCTGCTCCGTTGGCACGTTATCACAAATATAGAGAACACGACAACTGAAATTCCACTCGGTGGTTGGCAACATGCTTGCACATCTCTGGTATTATGAGTGTCTGTGCACGGAGACCTGCACAGTCTTGCAAGCCGCATGATTGTATGGTATTTGTATTTTGTGTGGAAGGGGTTGGGTAATAAGTCCAAAAGACCACTGCGACCTAGAACATCTTTTGTAGTCTTTCCTTCGAAAACATTGCGTTATTGTAGGATAACATTACCCTGTGCTGTAACGACGTTTTACATACCTAAATTTCAAGTGGACATACACCCAGCTCCGAAACAAATATCTGTGGGTAACAAATGGAAGCAAAACCAAGACCGCCGGCACCGAGAAATTACTAATTACTTAATACCTTGGTAATTTCGCCACGGAGTATCTAACCGTTTGATATCCCGTCGAAAAAAACATTTGCACCAACAACCTTCTTCATCTGTATCTTTATCTTGCCTTTCAAGTAGCGACAGCATCTATTTTCTGGGTACCTGTTCGGCGGCGGAGGGGTTCTTCTCGAGGATCGCTTGGGCCGCCTTGTTGTTCCTGGCGATGAGGGCGGCCGCGAACGGGGACACGCCCTTGTTGTCCCTGGCGGACAGGTCGACTCCCGGCTGCGACAGAAGCAGCGATATGATACCCGCGTGCTGGTTCTCTATAGCGATGTGCAGCGGCGTCTTGCCCTCGGCGTCCTTCGTGTTTATGTTGGCGCCGTGCTCTAGTAACGTCTGCAATTAAATATTTATTGAGCGGTGAAAAAAGTTCTTAAAAGTGGTCAGAGGTGTTAATCAGTGGTTATGGACGATTGGGTTATTGAGACATTTTTATTTAAAAGAAAACTGACTTCAAGTATCTCTGACCACACAATTTCCATTTGATTTTTATAAATTCCCTTAGTGTCTCCAGAGTCCAAGTTCCAATCGCAATGAAATTGAGAAGGGACCACATGGGTGATAAACGGAACCCTATGCAAAAATAGTTTTTAAAATCCAAAACGACGGAGTTCTAACAAAAATAGAACAAAAAATACAACCGAATTGAGGAGACGTTCGTCTTTTTGAACTCGGTAGCTAGTAAGAGATCGAAATTGGTTCATGCCCGATCACTATATTCAACGAACGGCCGTTAGTTACATAGCTTCGTAACTTTCATAACGACTTGTAGATCAAAAGGCGTGTACGCCCGGTTCCTATATTAACAAAAAGAGGCGTTTTCCTTACGTGCCGCTCCTTTAATCTATCATCAGTAGATGGCTGGAGACGACCGTGCGATGTTCGTGTTCAGCCGTGGGGTGGTCGTGTTCGGCCGTGAGATGGTCGTGGACGGCCGTGGAGGGGTCATGGACGTCCGTGGGGTGGTCGTGTTCGGCCCGGGGGGTGGTCATCGACGTCCGTGGGGTGGTCGTGTTCGGCCGTGGTGTGGTCGTAGACGGCCGTGGAGGGGTCATGGACGTCCGTGGGGTGGTCGTGTTCGGCCGTGGGGTGGTCGTAGACGGCCGTGGAGGGGTCATGGACGTCCGTGGGGTGGTCGTGTTCGGCCCGGGGGGTGGTCATGGACGTCCGTGGGGTGGTCGTGTTCGGCCGTGGGGTGGTCGTGGACGGCCGTGGGGTGGTCGTAGTCTGCCTTGGGATGGTGGTCAGCTCACCTGTATGACGTCCGAGAGGCCCCAGGTGCAGCAGAGGTGCAGCGGGGAGTGGCGCTCGGCCGCCAGCTCGGCGCCGCCGCCGGACGGCCCCGCCCTCCTGGCGCACTCCACGTCGCACCCCGCCCGTATGAGGAACGTCGCCAGCGCCTCCTTGTTCTCGTCTATCGCCCTGCATTGTGGCCAGCGAGTTGGGGGTTAACCCGATGTTATCCGATAACCGCCGCCCATAGACATTTGCAACGTCCCTTGGGGCTCCAGCGTTCCAAGCGTTCCAGCTCCAATGTGTGTAGTATGTTGTTAACGATATTGTTAAGGTTTTTTACGACTAGCTGCCTGCTTGAACCCTTGTGGGAAAAGAACGCACGACCCCCGCCGCTCAAAACAATGGCCTTACTAATGCGCCGAATCAATATACCTATCTTAAAAAATTATCCTATTTATTCATTTTCTTAAACAGAAAATTAATTTATTTTTTATTTCCCATAGATCGGTTAACGCAGTTGCCAAGGTAGTTTCGGTGCAATAATTTTATTATTTACTAGCTGCTGCCTGCAACTACGTCTACGTAGAATAAATAGGCTGAAAGCGTAACATTTAGACAGAAAGACAGACATACATAAAAAATAAAAATATGTATATAAATTATAGCTTATGTGTAATTCTGATGTATAAGCTACGTCATTATACAGTTTCATAATTCTAATCCATTCAATAGTATTTGCGTGAAAGAGTAAAAAACATTCATCCATACATACAAACTTTCCACTTTATTATATTAGTAAGAAAGTAAGGATTAGTAAGGATGATCAGTGAAGAGGTTTTCTATATCTGGATGTTCATTTCCGTGAAATTTGTGTTGTAAATAACGACGCCCCTTGAACATAAGATAGTGCCATACGTACATAACTACATACGTAACGTTTTTATATTTTTTTATAAAATATTTAAGGTAATGTTTTTATATTTTTTTATAAAATTTCTAAAAAACAATGATAATGTTCCTTTATGAGACCGAAAAAGTGGAAGAAAAAAAATATCGTCTTACTTATGCAAAAGTGTTTGCAAGCACCCATCTGGACCTGGACCCCAGCAGTCTGCGTCCGCGCCGTTTCTTACAAGAATCTGTTGAAAAGATTGTCCTTTATACGAATAGTATAAATTGTTCAATGAAACTGACTGTCTGCCCCATGACCATGAACGCTCGAAAGTCTCCGAAACGTCGGGGATTCAAAAAACTAAATTCGTAAAACAAATTTCCTTATCCAAAATATGTTGATTTTTTGGAACCTGTATTATAACAGTGGTATAAGACCGTCCACACATGAATTTACATAATATCTCCATTTTTTTAAATCTCTGCATCGTATGTGTAGTATGTCAATATATATACAGATTCTTATAATACCGTATATGATGAACGATTCTTATAATACCAAATACGGTGTGTAGTATGTATGTAGTAACAGACATTTTCTTATCTGATTTACCCTAACTTTCAGAGTTGCGAAGGTTTTGCTATCTTCAAAAAGAATTTTTTTAATGTGTGAAGTGAGCAGGCGGTTAACCTGGTATTTAGTGGCTGCTTTCATTTCTTTTGATGTGATTAAGTACTTTACTATCTAAGTAATTCTAGATGAAACTCAAAAGTATAATATTTCGAATATTCGCAAATACATGTAAATAAATTGTTATAAATTCACGTGTTTGCCATATCTTTTATACTAATGTTCAATATTTAAATAAATAACTGTAACATTTACATAATTATTTGATAATAATACAAATACAAATGATGCTTCTTTTACGAGGTTCGAAAACATTTCTAGTTTTTGTAGTCTGAAATGCAAATATAACGCGTTGAGACAATAGATGCGACAAGTCGACATAAGACTTGTCGCATTTATTATCATTTATATTATGCATATAAAGAACATTGAATGTATATTAAGTGATGTGCACGTTTCCTATTGACTCCAAGACGGTTGGACGGTTGGATTTTCATGACATTTTCATACAACCTTCTGATGAGCGCGTGATCTTGTGAAATTTGGTAGCGTTTGGATCAGCAGACGTTTATGGATAATAAGCGCTACCCTAGCGAAGCCGGGGCGGGTTATTAGTTTCTTTTGGGTATGCAGGATACGATGAGCGCTTGACCATATTTAATCGCTTACTTTTTCAACCGACATCAAAAAAAAAGGACGTTTGTTTTGTGTTCCGTTATTTTTTTAAACATTTCCATTACTGTAGAATAACATTATCCTGTGTTGTAAGGATGTTTTGCATACTTAAATAACGGCGGACAAACACCCAGATCCTAAAATATATTATCTTCCATACACACGGGACAAATGCGGGTCACACTAATAGTTGTCGGGGTCGAGCCCATGACCCCCGGTGCCAAAGTCAATACCTCGGCAACACCGCAATGGAGTCATCATATAAAATCTTTCTCAATTCGATTGTATTTTTTATTTATTTATAATTTATGTACACAGAGTTATGGCAGAGATGTAAATAGATGAAATAATTTGTACAAAGGCCCTGCTTATTTCATAAGAAATTTCTTCCAGCAGACCTGTGACTGGAAATTGTGGAACGATTTTGAAAATACTCACGCTGGCGACCTCCTCCTGGCCGGAGTCGAGGGCGGCCCAGAGCGGGGGCACTCCGTTGGCGTCGAGCCGGCTCATGTCCACGCCGCGAACGCACAGCGCCTCCACCACCAGCCCGAGGCGGCAGTGGATGGCCAGCTGCAGCGGGGTCTCGCCCGCCTCGGTCCTGCGCAACAGTGCACCGGAACGAGGAGCCCCGTTTTCACGGTTCCGTACCCAAAGGTCCAAAGGGGACCCTGTTACTAAGTCTCCATTATATTATAACTAAATATAAGTAACTATTAAGTATTATATTATAACTAAGTGTAATACTTTCGGCTTGAAAGTGCAATCCGGTGGGGCTTACTTACGAACTCGTGCATCAATTTTTATGTAAAAATCGACGTTTCATAAGAACGCGCAAGCGACTAATTGAAAAATGACATTTTGATTTTTAATTTAATTTGAATGCATAATGAACTCAACTCAACTTCTATTTTCGTATTATTTTACAATACCTTTTCTTTTGTAATTGTTTATCTTGAAATAGAAGAAGTGAATACCATTACAAATATGACGAGATACTTACAATGCGTCCATATCAGCTCCATGATCGAGCAAATAGATGGCCGTTCTAGAATCTTCTTCCACAATTGCTTGGTGTAGCAGTGTAAAGCCTTTGCCGTTACGTATATTTGGGTCAGCTCCGCCTTCGATAAGCGGTGCCACCAAGTTTTTGTGTCCTGGGAATAAGAATTGGGACTTTTTAATGATAAAATAAAAAAGGGTCAATGAACAATGTGACATTAAATAATCCTGGAATTCGCATATGAATGTATGAAATCATCAAATTTTATCGAAATTCTGTGCACAATTTAAATGTTATTTTTGTTACTATTTTCAGTGCGACAAGTTTTAAATTGATTTCGCACAATTAGCAGCAGGAGCAAGTAACCTTTTGACGTCCGTATAGTTAAGGCTAACCAGTTAAGGTTTCGAGTTTAAGCGCCGTTTCTTTGAGAAACTCACCTTCGGTGAGGGCCAGACTGACGGGCGTATCGCCTTCGGAATTCTTTAGGTTCAAATTTGGCACCAAACTGACGTTGCTTCTGTCGGTCGCCGGCAGATCGCCCTTTTCTATCAGGTTTTTATGTTCTATGATCGCTAAGACAGCGCCCTCGTGATTGTTGAGAACGGCCAGATGGAGAGGTGTTTGCCTTTAGTGATACAACAAAAGAATAATGTATATTAACAATCGTTGGTCACATGTCAATAGTTATAAAGCGGTCCTTCAAGCCGGATAAATAGATATACAAAGATTGTTATGAGATGGCATGAAAAGATTTTTTTATCACAGACTACTGCTTGCCTAGCTCACTAAATTTTTTAACCTCGTTTGGCGTTTAGACTTCATTGTTATTAAACGTTATAATGATTGACTCCCTCGCTCGTTGGCTTGCTTGTCCATAAAATAATTTACTTACTATTTTTGAGATATTTTAATGTGTTGTGATGTATTAATAAATAGACAATACGTCTTATATTTGAGTGAAGGCTGCGCGGTGGCCGCGTATTGGGTGCCTAGTAGGATTGAGTGCTTTGTCCGATAGTGGCTCCATCCACCACAGTGAGCCTTTGCATTTAAGGGCGTGGCTTCACCAAAGTGAGCCTTTGATTAAGAGCGTGGCTCCAACAAAGTGAGCCTTCGGACTTAAGGGTGTGGCTCCACCACAGCGAGCCTTCGCACTTAGGGGTGCAGCTCCACCACGGTGAGCCTTCGCACTTAGGGTGCGGCTCCACTAGGGTGAGCCTTCGCAGTTAAGGGCGTGGCTCCACCGCAGCGAGGTTTCAACCGGACCAGTGTGCGGAGTCACCTGTAGACGGTGTCCTCGTGCTCCCCGTACGCGGTCTGCAGGTTGTGTCGGGCGCCGTGCTCCAAGAGGGCGGCGGTGAGTCTTGTCAGGCCGTTGGCGCAGGCCGCGTGCAACGCCGTCAGCCCCGCCTCGTTGCCGTGATTCAGATCGCCGTTGAGGTGCGAAACTAGAAACACGGCCGATTCCTATGGGTCAGACCGTTGAAATGTAGATCTTATAGAGTGGTGGTAGTAAGCATTTCTTAGTAATATATTCATATTCGACAGGACGGTACGAAAATGTCTAAACAAATAAAATATCGTTAAAGGATGTTCCGTGGAATTTCTATAAAGATATGTGAAAATGTGGATGATTTCATTCCGTAATATTACTTATTACAATTAATTTATTATACTAATTATTATTTTTTTATGTGAGAAAGTGGCAAACGAGCTGGCGGTTCATCTGATGTTAAGTGATTACCGCCTGCCCATGGACATTTGCAACACCCGTAGGGTTGCGTAGATGCGTTGCCACCTCTTAATATTGTGGGCCCCGGCTACCTCACTCATCAGACGAAACGCATAAGTGCAACACTTCTACTTTACGTCGGTCTTCTGTGAGGTCGAGGTACTAACCCGGACGGACCTGCCCATTCGTGCAACAACGAACACTGTTGCGTGGCCCTACCACCGTAAAATTTCGTAATATAATCTTATCTATATCAGATACAATAAATTTTTTCCAAGAGTCTGAATAGTCTACTATGTTATAAAATAATACTTGAGTCTCGTAAAACCTCACACGAAGATATGAAGCCATTTCGCCTCATATGGAAATCATGATAATTCATACAGGTTGGTTAGGTAATTTATTTAGTGAGTTCTTATTTATAATTTTAGTGGAAGAGTCTTCCCAAGCCGAACACCATAATAGGGTTCCTTACGTTAAATGTAGTGTGAATAAGTGTTTTGAAATATTTAAATCAACATGATATCGTACATAATAATCACTTACGTACGAAGTAAATTTTTGAGACATACTTCACAGTTACAGTAATTTTATGAATATTTCACGAAATTTCACACTGTTTATACAGTGTAGTATTGGATAACGCATCGATTCCGGATAGGCAGTTTCCATTACGATAATATTGGAAAAACTGCGTAGTTATGCTTTCTGCACGCTGCCCGTTACAATAAATTCATTATTAGGTAATCGTGAATAGAAATTAAAATAGTTTGTAAAGTTGACGTTTTTTTAACTTGAACCGTCATAAGTTGTAAGGAATTATACAAAGAAACCATAAATATCTGAAAAGACACGTTGTCCGATTTACCTCAAACCATCCTTGGATCAACACGTGCAGTAGACTGTCGCCCGAGCCAGTATACAACGGGTTGGGCTGGCATCCCTTCTCCAACAGCTTAGCTGCAAAACCTTTCTCGATGATAGTCTCCGTCTTGCCCTCGACCGGGTCTTCCGCGAAGGCGGTCTTATTCGTGACCGGAGTGTCGAAGGGATTCGAACCGTTCATCACCAAAGTCTCGCTCGAGGAGATAGACGCCCTCCGGTCGTCCACTAAGGCGTAGTAGAGGGGTGGATGCTCGTCTGATGCGGTGCGCAGATTCGTGTCTAGGTTGGGCTGTTTGAGTAGTAGATCGAAGACTCTCTGATTCCTCGATATGACCGCCTGGTGAAGCGGTGTGCTAGAGAAAATGGAATTTCTACCATATAACAGACGCTACGACGAAGGTCATTACTGTTTATGATAATTTTGTCATCGTCAAACTAAATTGATAAATTGAGTCGCAAGTTATTATCATTATTTTCCAATTGACCTCATTATACACTAATTTTTTCCAAGCGCAGTAGAGATACGAAATATGGAGACGATTTATTTTGTTGTTGTTTTAATTGCAATTAGATTAGATAGGTTTGAGAAACGAATGAGACGAGTAAAATGAATGTTTTATAGTGACGAAATGCAAAATGTATCCCAGGTTATTAATTGTCAGGCGATTGTGTACGCGAACAAGAGAGGAGCGCCCACGCAGTCTCCCATTACTTTGCGATGACTAAGAACGAGGGAGCAAGTACCGAGATATTGCTTTAAGGCCATCCTTATGGTTTGTTTTTATTCATACGATAAAAGTGATGCTATGAAACGATGCCAATTTATCATATATTATTTGACTTTCCTTTTAAAAGTTTTACCTTCGAGGCCTAACATCAGGTCATAAAAATTACAAAAGAAAGAAGGACATCGTACAAATATTTTAGGAATTGAACGAAATTAAGCAAATCTAAATTTAAAAGAGCATAATTTCGCTGCATACCTCATTTTGTCAAATAACATTGGTATGTATTTGTATTTGCTAGCGTTCACGTTTGTTTAAAATTAACATTTCAAACAGTTTACAGCATTCATAGATAAGGGAAAGATTTGAAAATACCTCGTATTCGACAACAAGTTATTAACAAGTGTAAAATAGAATACCATTTAATAGTGCTAGTATCTAATACATCACTGTTGGCCACAAGTCGACAAACTTGATTTAATTAAGCAGGTAGTTTTAGTTTCGTATATATTTACGAAAACTATACATTGAGCTGGAATTTAATCAAATAAGACAAGAAGATCTTCTAAAAAGGAGTAAGGTCGTTCAGGACTTTTTAACAAATTTGTGATGACTTTCGCCACAGTCGAAGTCAAGTACAGGAATTGAAAAGTATTTTAGAACGACCAATCAATCTTCTTATTAAAAGTCGGCAAAATAAGATCGACTATTATAATAATCTTCATGCATTTTACGTAATTCAATTCTAATTGACACGCAATAATTTTATGCGCTTATATTTATTTATATTCTATTTCATTAAAATAAAAATATTTTTAGGAAACGTAATAAAAATATTAAATTTACGTAATAAGGTAACGTAAACGAAATTAACGTAATAAGGTATTTAAAATTTTTTTAGAGTAAACAAAAAACGGTATAGTATAGTCGGTATAGTCGCTGGGGCATCGAACTTGGGATCTTAACGGTAGATGTTCGCGTGTCAGTGGCGTTCACCAATGAGTTTTGCATTTTTCGAATTCACCGTCTAAAAATTTGCGATGTAAATTGACAAGGCTCGCCACCAGTCGAGTCTGCGACTAAGATAAGCTAAGCGTAATGTGGATAGCATTTTTTTGTGGTATACACTGGCTTTCTTCGAAAATGGGGACCCGGTATACGTCCCCGTTTTTAGGGTTACGCGTTTGGTTGTAATATTAATTTATGGTCCTTTATTTAGTTTATACATATTTGTGTAGTTTATATATATATATATATGTGTATTATGTAGATATAAGTAAGTATCATCATCTTCTTCATGTGAATCATGTTGGTTTTATCTAGGTTTTTAAAGACAAAGTGTCTGACGTCAAACCTCCTTGGGAATAAGATATATATAATATACGGCAGTATACCTTTGGTCACTTTTTGGTAATTTACTTGTTCGTTTTATTGTGTGTATGGCATTAGCTGTCTCTATGAAAGTACATAAAAGCTTATTTGTTCGTCAGTTTGTTCATATTGTACTCACTATCCCTTCCGATTTTGGCGGTTGATGTCGGCGCCCTTCTGCACTACAATTTCCGCTATCTCTACCATCTGCTCCATGGTCTCCGGATCACAAGAACTTGATGTTAGGGTCGCAATGAGATGAAGCACCGTATCGCCTTCCTCTCTACAAATGGAAGGAATAATGGTTATTCATACTTGAAATTGAACGAAGTTGTACGAAATTTTCATTCATACTTTTGACTTTTAAGTTCTAACTAGTCATTAGGTAAGTGCATATAATATTTGTACACCGCGCAACCGGTGCGCAGTGGTATCAACGTAACGTCGACGCCCACAGTGACTGCAGACTCCCAACGATTCGCGAACATTTGAAAGATCACGCCAAACGGTTCTTCGACAGAGCCGAACATCATCCCAACCCTCTGGTGGTAAGGGCAGTAAATTACCAACCCGACACAAACGCGAACGTCAACAAACGTCGTCCGCGCAACGTCCTCACCGACCCGGTCGAGGAAGGGGACTTAGATACGTCGGACCCACCGTCGGGAGTCCCGCCAAATAACACTACACACTTAGTACATCACCAAACACTATAGTTCGACCTCGCCTACGAGCACGGCGAAATCAACACAACGCGTACACTAGGTAGGTTATCGCCCGTTTCTTCTTCATTAGAGACAGCGCAATTGCAACTGAGATTAGTTTCAGTATGTATATCCTTTGCAATGATACTATTTAACCCGTAGATATTAATGGAATTATATTAACTGATTTGAAAATGTATTGTATTTTTATACTATTTGTAGAACTGCTTTATCCGGTTAATAGTTAATGTTGTCATGAATAGATAAAAATGCATGATTAAAGCGTATCAAGGACAAATTCTTAACTACGTCGCATTATTACCCATAAAGTACAATGTATGGTCATAAACAGAAAAATGTTGCCGGCAGTTTTTAAGTTTCCTTTATATAAAAACGGTATCGTTGTTTGTAAAATCAACCTTATGTCTGGTCAAAGTGTCTGTGAATACCGTTTTTCGATCGACCTCAGCGGAATATTTATTGCTGTACCAGACTTTGAGATAATGGAATATCAGCGATATATTCAAATGTTGCGAATTTATGAATAATAAGCAATATGCTCATATGTTAGATGAATAACACGTGACCTGAAATTTAATTTATCTTTAAATAATAGTAATCCTAAAATAGGAGTCTGGCAAAGTTAATACAACCGAAAGCCTCGTCGACTTGCCTTCATCGTTTAGCAGATTAATTAGCGAATTTGCGAACACAGGATGCTATATAGATTTGCGAATATATGTATGTATGTAATGACGAATTACATAATTTGACGACGACAAATATACATATAACGGTACTTAAGAATTAAAGAAAAATCCTTGCATTTAGATTGATGTGAGGTATTTTTGAAGAATCTTTAATTTCACTGCGAGAGAATATTGAGGCTTGCCTATGTTATAAATGTATGTAACACCTCAAACGAATTAAAAGATGTATAAAACATTCACATTCACACTGTAAAATTAATTATGAAGCAACATGTAAAATGTTGCTTCAATAATAATAAATTTTACTATGTGAACGTTTCATAACTAGGTATGGACGCATTGTACATAACTAGTTTCGGCACTATTTTTGGTCTGACGCAGACCGCATGTACGTTTTACGATGTGCATTCCAAGTGTTAACTAAATCGACTGCTGAAGCGCTCTCACCGTATCGAAAATATTTACCACAGTGATACGTAAACAAGTTTACAAAAATAACGTAACATTTCGAAGGCGAATGTTAACCTCAATTGGATTTCACTGTGAGAATAATGGGAGGTGTCTCAATTGCAGTAAATAATACAACAAAATCTTATAGACTCCTTTGTTGTGAAAGTAAATGCGAAGACCTCTGGATCTCCCTGAAACTACCAACAGCGGACGCCAAATGTAATTTATTGATATGTGTAACTTATTTACCACCTGCGTTGTGTTAAGATGTACTTCAACATTTTATAGCTAACTGCAAGTCAGTTTTTGACCGGTACAATACACATTTTTGCATTTTAGGTGACTTCAATACTAGATATGAATTGGTCGTCTCAAAATGATTCCCGCCATAAAATATCAAACTTAAACTAATTACTCCTTGATTTCTATAGTCTAAATAATCTTAAACAATATAAACACACTGTCAACAGCTTGAATAAGACATTAGATATAGTATGTTCCGATTTACCTGATTGTGAAACAACAGAAGCTTTCAACACCGTAAGCAAAATAGACCCATAGCATCCACCACTTTTAGTAAAACTTCCACTATCAAGTAAAAAAAACTTTCTGTATTACAAAAAAAAACTCGACGCCAAATATTTGAAAAGCAATCTATCTGAGCAAAATAGATTGGTTTGCTTTATTAAGTGATGTTCGTTATTTAAATGATGTTAATGATATGGTAGCCGTATTTTATGAAACACTTCAAGAAGTTATAATAAATTTAGATGATAAAAAAGTTAGCCGTCCTGATGACGTTGGTCCTTTATTATACGTAAATGTGCAAAAAAATTTAGCAACTCTTCTATATTTCATCCATAACGAATCCCTGAAATCTGGTTCATTCCCACTTAAATGGAAATTAGAAAAGTGTTGCCCATATTTAAGGAGATACGTCATTAGTTAACAACTGTAGACCTATTTCGATTTCATCTATTTTTGCAGTACATATTATAATTTTATTATGTACAATAATTCAGTTTCACATAAAACAAATAATAACACCGCACCAATATGGTTTTATTCCAGCGCGCTCAACAACAACTAACCTTGGAAATCTTTGCAACTTTTTGACAGATGCATTAGATAACCAGAAACAGGTGGACGTAATTTACACCGTTTAGTAAGGCGTTTGATCGTGTATCACATATTTTTCCAGTTATGAAACTTTCTATGTATGGTTCTTTGTTAAATTGGTTTCGTTCCTACTCACAAAACCGGGAGTTTATGTGGCTATATCTGGTTATCGCTCCTTTTCCCACAGTGTAAGTTCTGGAGTTCCACAGGGGTCTCATCTGGGTCCAGTTTTATTTAATATATTTATTAATGATGTATCTACTATTTTTACAGCACTCTACACCATTTCTTTATGCTGATGACCTTAAATTTGCAAGAGTAATTAACACATTCGAAGATATTCAATATGTTCCTATATAGACTAATTAGATGGTGCTACAGAAATAATATGACTCTAAATGGTAACAAATCTTGACATATTAAGTTTTGTCGTTATTTCATCGTAATCATATAAAGGAGTAAATTATTAGGAAGGTTGAATGTGTTAAGGATTTAGGGGTTTTGTTTGATCAAAAATTAACTTGTACCATATTATGACTGGATAGTAACAAAAGCAGGATCAATGTTAGAGTTCGTAATGAGAAATGGCAGGTCTTCCACAAGACAGAAACAAAAAAAACGCTATACTTCAGCTTGGTGCGCAGTAGTCTTGAATATTGAAGTGTTGTTTGGTGCCCACAGTATTCTACGCATTCTTTAAGATTGAAGAGATTGCAGATACGGTTTTTATGGCACGTTGCAAAAACATCATGTCTGGATAAAAAGTTAATTACTTATGATGAAAGACTTAGCCATTTTATAATAACGAGTCTTTCTAAGAGGAGAGACGTAATTAATTTTAAATTTTTCCATGATCTTGTCGTAAGTAATGTTGATTGCCTTGATCTTCTTTCCAAATTTAACTTTAATGTTCTTGGTTCTTGTCCACGCACTAAAATCAAACCCCTATCGCCTCCTCTTAAGAAAATTGTTTTGGGAACTAAGTCAATTATCCTGCGCTTATGTGCTCTTGTAAATAAGTCCTCCGACAAAATTGATTTTAACAGCGATTTTTTACTTCCGTGTCACCACACTATTCTAAGCCATGACTGACTAACTTATTTCCACGAGAAACAATTTGTTTTCTGCTTCAAATTAATTTTTTTTGAATTTTTGTATTGTTACGCTGGACAAAGATTTTTTTTACGCCTGTGTCTACTATTAATTAGTTAGTATTCTATTTTTTATTTCTAATTTAATATTTTTGTTTTAGTTGTATTTTTTTTTACCTTACATTTACTTACATAAAAAATACGTCAAATTATCAATGTTGTGTTTGCCTACAATTTGGATGTGCAATTAGTTTTAACCATTTAGATTATTGTAAATGACCTAAGAAAATTTTAAATATCACATCTGTAGGTGAGTTTATTATTATCGGGATTCGTCTAGAAGGGTTACGAGTGACATTGGCCGTGACCATTGGGATATTTATTTTATCGTTGAATCCTGAAAACAAAACTGATAGTTTTCATTTATTTTTAAATAATAAAAATTCTTTTTCATATTTACTCACCCAAAAAGACATTTTACGTATCTAACTATGACAGAATCATAAATAAAGGCTGAGAAGGAACTTCATAATATGATATCGTGCAGATAAATTCTAGAAATAATTGGGTGCTGCCAGGATTCGAAACTGCGCTTTCCAAGTAATGTACCCAAAGCTCTACCAACCCACTAGGCTAAGTGATCGATTTACTCACTTATTTTTATTGCATTTTTAATAATTCTTGGAGCTATCTAGTGTGCTTCGTTTACAATAATTTATCTACTATGTTTCAAATTTCATATTAAGTGCAGAGACAAGCACTAAAAAAAATTAAATCGAAAAAGATGATGTTAATTAATTACCGCCGCCCGTCGATATCTACAACACTAGTGGGGTTAGACAGTGTTGGACCGTTGGCCTGCTCTGTTACCCCAATCAGCAGACTAAATAAATGCAAAGTACACTAAGTCGGTCTTCTGCGATAGCGTAGTAGTAAAACTGAATGACCGACGCGTTGACTTCAAGTGAAGGAACTGCACCAACTTTGTCGTGAGGCCGGGGTCGGCGCCGTTGTCCACGAGGAAGCGCGCCGAGAAGGCGTCCCTCGAGTCGACCGCCCGGTGGAGCAGCGTGCGCCCCCTGGGACCGCGCGCGTCCGGGTCGGCGCAGTGCTGCAGCAGCGTCGCCGCTATGGAAGCGCTGCGGCCGCGCAACGCCAGCTCCAGGGGCAGCTCGCCGCGCGGCGACATGGCGTTCACTATGTCGGTGAGCTGCGACAAGGGAAAACGTTGGCCTGCTTTACTGTGGTCCAAATATAACACTAAGCGTTCATAAGTAATGTTGTTTTAATAAGGTTTTTAAAGTCTAACTAAAGTCTTCGATGTTGCGGGGTTACGAATGGTCAGGTCTGTCCATGTGAGTTTCACGACCTCACAGAAGGCCGGCGTTAAGTGGACGTATTTAGTAATTATTCTTTTACGTTTCTTCCAGGGAGTGAAGTAGCCGATATGAGTGAGGTAGGCGGGGACCACTTTATTAATAGGTGGCAACGCAACTGCAACCCTAAGGTTGGCGCAAATGTTAATGTGCGACGGTGATCACTTAAATTAGGTTAACCGCCAGCTCGTTTGCCACCTTTTCACATAAAAACGCATTTTTTTTGTGTTGTGAGTTTGATCCGCACACGGGAAAAATTGTGTTATTATGAATTATTATATATATTATTATATGTGTTATTGTGTATATTGAATTTTCGTGATACTCACCCCGACCGACCTGACCATTCGTGCAACAGCGAATACTGTTGCGTGGCCCTACCACAGTTCTCGTAATGTACCATGTCTCTGTTCTCATAATTAATACTTAATAAATTCCTTAGAGAGAACTCTTTACTTCCTTGAGCGTACTCTGTGTCCATGATTTCATGTTTGTTAAAACCGCGTTTGTTAAAACGCACTAGAACTAGGAAAGGAAATGATGACGAAAATGATTTGAATTTTTTTATTTCTGGTATCGTTTATAGAGTGGCGATAAAAGTAATATAGAAAATTATAGACCAATTTCTAAACTAAGCACCTTGGCCAAGCTTTTCGAAAGACTAATTCACAACACCTTGTACCCTTATATTCATAATCTTATCATACCTGAACAACACGGCTTTATAAAACGTCGATCCACAACTACCAATCTTATGGTATTTACAAATCACTTATCTGAAAACATGGATTTGCATCAGCAAACTGATACAGTATACACTGACTTTCAAAAAGCTTTCGACAAGGTGGATCATAAATTACTTCTGGACAAGATAGCATATAATGGCATTCGTGGAAATTCACTGCGGTGGTTTTCGTCCTACATATTTCGAAGGACACAGAAAATCGTTATTAATGGCTTTGAATCAGATTATATATTTGTTCCTTCTGGGGTTCTTCAAGGATCTATCTTAGGGCCTCTTCTCTTTATTCTATTCATCAATGATCTTAAATTTTGTTTTCTTCATTCAAAGTTTTTAATGTACGCTGACGATATCAAAATTTACAAGACATGTCGAACTCTGGAGGATTGCATATTTCTTCAGGAAGATCTGAACAGATTTTCTAGATACTGTCTAGAAAATAAATTGAACCTAAGTCTACCCAAATGTAAAATGATATCTTTTTACAAAAAAGAAAAATTTACTTAGTTCCAATTACTTTATTAATGATGTACCCTTAGAAAGGGTTAACTTCATTAGAGATCTTGGTGTGACTCTAGATTCAAAGCTGCACTTTAATATACACATGCATTTAGGTTGTTTGGATTTGTTATGCGTTCGACCAACGACTTTAAGCGTCCTTCGACTTTCCTACTCTTATACAAAACCTTGGTTCGTTCTCAATTAGAATTTTCTGTTCCAATATGGGATCCCTTCTATGAAAAATACATTTCAAGAAGAGATTGTACAAAAGAAATTCTTACGCACTATGCACTTTAAATGTTTTCACGCTAGGCTTTCTTATGTACAATTATTAGAAAAATATGAGTTGTTGAGTTTGGAGTCCAGGCACACTCTTGCTATGGCTATGCTATTATATGGATTATGTAATAATAAATTCGACTGAAGGAGCTTACTAACAGGATTGCTTACATTGTACCAAGAAGAGTTACCATACGCGATGCACGCGTGGCCCGATTGTTCTACACTGAAAAGTGTAGAACAAATGCTGGGCAGCGAGCACCGCTTCGTAGAACGTTAGATGTATATAACTCTAAATTTATGAATTGTGATTTGTTTTCACTTTTAAAAGCAATTAGTTTGCAATTTAAAAGAATTGTTACACTAATACTTAAAAAGTAATATGCAAATTAGGCTAGGAACCGACTTACTCTTTTTATTTTATTTGACTTAATATTATTTTGCGGACATTGGTGTGGGTTATACGTTTAGTTTAATAATTAGAAATTCCATTTTATGTATAATTGTTAATGTATAACTGTTTTATGTCCCAATAAATTAAAAAAAAAAATAAAAAAATAAGCAATTATAAAAAGTTAACCAATTATAAAATGACTCACATAATTTTTATATAGAGTTTCAAAAGGAAAAAAAAAATCTAAATTTTCAATACAGAATAGCGCTAAAATTAATCTTAAAAAACGTTAAAGTTTTAAATGCTTCCTCATCGAATTCAATTACTAAGTCCCATCAAATGGGTGAATGGATCAAAATGGACGACGGATACGATATGAAAAACTAAACGTGCGTGAAACAAATAGAAATCATAAATCACTTGCATCACTCCGTTCGACAGTACCACTTCTGCGTTCTTACGTTAAGTTTTTGCGCTGTTTTCATACGCACCGAAGAGCCACGCCTTTTAACAAACCGCTGCGGAAACAATTAACAATCATATGAATCGACAACGGAAGGGCAGATCAATTGGTCGCTTGTTACATTTACGTATGTACATGTGTGCGCGTAATAATTAGTCGATGCGAGATCCTCGCCGAAGTGGACTACAATGCAATCGCACATTCGCTTACGATGCCGAACATGCGTCCACCTGTCCATGTCAAGTCGAGCCGATGAATTACAAACGCCGTTTACTTTCACGATTACACAATTTGTGCCACTTGTGTGACGAATATATAATAAATTGTATAATAGACCGTCGCGGAAAAGGGATCGAAATCCTGCCTATTCTTTCCCTACATTTCAGCATGAAAACTCGAATATGGCTTACTTTGAAAGTCTAACGGGATAGCAACGCGCTATCCAAATCATATTAAGTCACTCTACTCAAAACGTGCCGTTTGGAAGCCGGGAACGAATCATGAAAGTTTTACATCATATTAATTTCATTAACTTAATTTTTCTCATTATATGTATATCTACGTAGGTACTGACATACTTCAAATATTTATTCAAATATTATACTTTAAAAGTTGTAACACGTTATTAGTATTATTTTGTATTTGATAATTATTGAATTAATCCTTTTCCTCGAAGAAATGCATAATTTCAACACAACAACTTCATCAATTAATTAAACTTCTTTCTTCATGACAAATAATGAAGGCGTTTTAATGCAAATCGATCCATATCAATTCCGAGAATACGTTTCCTTTTAATAAATAATCGAAAGAATAGAATTTTAACGAAAAGGATTATAATACATCATCATCATCATCATCATCATCATTTCAGCCTGTTTGAGTCCACTGCTGAACATAGGCCTCCCCCATAGACATACAATAATATAATACATACAGAACAAAAAATTTAATGTATTTCAAACTATTTTCTGTCCAATGTGTGAATTTGGTAACAAATTAAAAAAACAACTACTAATGTAACAATGTTTTAAATGACGGAGAAGGAACTAAAGTACACAATAAAAATATAATAAAAAGGGATAGAGGGCAAGTACGAAAGGTTTCGTACCATTTATAAAAACCCATCTATAAAAACGGCAAAAGATCATTTCTGTTGTAGGGGAGCCCAACTTAAATGTATAACAATTAAGTAACAAATGTATAACATTTAAGTTGGGATCCCAGCGGCAACAGAAATACATTTTGGTGACAGACGAACAGACAGACACAGACAGACAGCGGAGTCTTAGTAATAGGGTCCCGTTTTACCCATTGGGTGCGGAACCCTAAAATGCAGAACAGAATTACTCTATCCGCTTTTTGTCCAGAATCATACAAATAAATTGATAGAATGTTAAAAAAAAACTAAAACGGTGTGGTACGGCGAAGTCGTTCTCCACGGAAACGCTCAGCGGCCGTTAGATTGCCATGGTCAAGTGCAGCGGACGTTTAACGGATGATGGCACTACACGTAACAGTCGAATAAGTGTGCGTGAAAATATATTATTTTCTGCGTTGACAAGGTGAGGAAACTTGTATAGCAGTCAGTTCACCCGATGTTGAGTGGCTACGAATGCTACTTGACACCCACAACCAGATGATGATGATGATGAAAAGGTTATTATCACAGCAGGGTCATCCAAGATTCACTTATTTTCATCTGTATAAAAATTTACGTCTTTAATTTTTTTCTTTTATACATATACCTTACTAAAGCATATTAACAGCGGCGCTCAAAGTCGTAAAAAATGGCAAAGGATAATAAGACAAGTTTAAGTTTTGTAATGTTTAGGCGACTCTAAACTAAGAGCATAACATACACACAGTAGGTTTAACAAAAAGATAGCGGTTTCTAATTAAAAGAACGCATGTTGCAATGCACACGCCCGTTGTAATAGCTATTATATTACAGTTCTCAATACAGAGACAGGATGCAATTATAAATAGACACCGGAATGCCGATGGGTTATCATCAGAATATGATAAATAATTCTATTATATGGATTATCCCTGAAATATTGATATATAACTAATATTTTATTTGCAATATAGTACAACGCGTAGTATATAAGATTTTAAAAATCGATGGGCATCTTTTTAAAACTTAGCAAGGGGCAAATTAGATATATCCATCGACAAGAGAATTAATTTGATCGACAAATAATTGCAAAGGACAAAGCGATTTTGTCCATTAATAAATTATTATTACATTAATTAACATTACATATGGAAAGTTACAGCCCACGACACAAAACATGCCTTAAATACTTTCTCTAAATCAAATACGATGAATTAAAATATTTAATTATAGTCGTATCGCAGTGCCGGCATCAATGAAATTGTTAATTTTAAGTTCTGACTCATATCGTGCTCGGCGGTGAAGGAAAACATTGAAAAAGATTTCTAACATAATATAATTATGTGAAGTGGAGGAGTGTGGTGGACAATGCCCTTGCCCTCTATATAGATAAAGCCTTTGCTTAACAGTTAGGATAAGTCCTACTGTATAGGCTGTTAATTTACTTTAATATAAAACATTCCTACCCTATAAAACACGAAGTCATTTAGTAGTCATTGGGATGACGAGATTCTTGCGACATCCTGTTAGAAGAACAAGTTTTAACATGAAAACTTGCTATAAAATCCGTAAAGGCAGGGATCAAAATACCGGTAAAATACAGTAACGTTATCTGGGCCAGTGTGCGATAACGTTATTTTTAAGAGAAACGTTATTAAAAAACGATATTGTGCAAAGCTTTGCAGGCGCATAACGTTATAATTGCGCTTACGTTACATTCATAAATTAAACGTTTCTAAAATATGTTATAAAAATAATAACGTTATTGTTTATTGTTCTATGCCATCTCTTTTACTCAAAACTGTTTACTCTTTTTTGCGTATGTTCTTTCTCTTTTATCTTATGTTC